TGGTTTGCTTGAAGCTGTGAACAGGCAAGATGGTTTGCTTGAAGCTGTGAACAGGCAAGATGGTTTGCTTGAAGCTGTGAACAGGCAAGATGGTTTGCTTGAAGCTGTGAACAGGCAAGATGGTTTGCTTGAAGCTGTGAACAGGCAAGATGGTTTGCTTGAAGCTGTGAACAGGCAAGGTGATTTGCTTGATTATGTAAAAAGGCAAGATGATTTACTTGAAACTGTAAACAGACAAGATGGTTTGCTGTAGGTTTTCATCCAAGCTGTAGATTTTATTTTAGTGCAGAGTTTATCCTCAGCACTACTTGTAAACACAATGTATAAAACAAATGAATGTTCTCCCCTTGCAGTCCTTGTAATCTCCCCTTGGTCCACTGAAGTCCTTGTGGTCTCCCCTTGGTGCAATGAAGTCCTTGTAATCTCCCCTTGGTGCAATGAAGTCCTTTTAATCTCCCCTTGGTGCAATGGAGTCCTTGTGATCTCCCCTTGGTCCAATGTAGTCCATGTGGTCTCCCCTTGGTCCAACAAAGTTCTCATGGTCTCCTCTTGCTTTGATTGAAGTCCTGTTGGTCTCCATTTTTGCTGTACCTGTGGTTTACAAACAATAAATGCTAAAGTACATCAATATGTTAAACTATTAGAACATTGTAAGTTTTCACATCAAAGATTAACCAATCTGCTTGAGGCTTGTCTTTACCTGGATCCAACTGCCTGATCTCTCAGACTAGCAGCTCATACCTGCAGAGAAGTAATGATCACTTTCTTAAGACAGATACACTGATCTTAAATCCATGACCTGGAATCTACAAAATTTTACTTTTTGATTTTTAAAATGTCTGGCAAAAAGAAACCTGGAAGAGTAAAAGATATTTATTCTTAAATATAAAAAGGTCCAACAAAATTAAATGTATATTAAACTCAAAACTTAACTTAATCGAGTCTTGTCAAACAGAAATTAAATAATATTTGACATCAAAAATAATAAATGTTATCAAGCAATAGAGAAGAAATATTAAATAAACATTCTTTTGGAGAAAAAAAAGAAAAGCAGCCAACATAATACCAAATATAATCTTAATATTTCCTGAAAAATAATTAGAAACACAAAAATGTCATAAATACAACTGCCATAAGCTTTAAAGAGCTGTAAAATCATCTAATCATACTGGGATATAAATGTATGAAGGAAAACAAAGAATACAAAGAGGCTTTTTAAGAGTGCTTGTATTTATATAACAAAAGCTGAAAAAAAAAGTTATGGGATATTCATATAGATGTAGGAAACATAAGTAAAATGCTCTAGGATACTCATACAAGAATCAAACCTAAACTTGTCAGATATTCATGTAGGAAACAAAGTCAAGTGTTTTGTTATATTTATGACAAAGCAAAGTTATACCCAACACTATAAATAAATATAAAAAATAGTTGAAAATAGATTAAATTATTTTTATAATTAAGTAATTAGTAACTAGAGACCAATTTTATATCTGAAATATTCAAACAAATTTATTATAGACCAGAGTTAAACATTATATATCATGTATGTATAGGAATGGAATATGGAATATATATAAAAATATGTAAAACAGTGATAAACTTTAAATTCATAGACCTAAAAACACATTGGTTAGTAGAGTAAATCAATTAAATTACTAATTGGATAATTATTATCAGTTTTCTAAAAAGTTTAATATTTTAAAAGTTGACAGTAATGTTATTCTATAGAGATAGTAGCCCTAAATTCAAATACTCCTGCTGTTGTGTGTGATCGTTCAATTCATAAAATTGCTAAAATAAATTTACAATGGTTAGTACACATGTAACTAGTATATAAATTTGACATTACATTTGTACAGGCATTTTTTAACAAGAAAAATAGTGTCTGATAGTCATTGTCGTTTTTAATTTAAATAGAAATTTAAAGAATAAATAGTTAACAAATTAAAGAAAGTAATCCATGATTAGGTTATAACATTTAGCATCCTGTATATAGTGTAGGCCTATATTAATTATATAGATCTAGGCCTTAATATAAAGGCCTGTAGGCAAATAGATGGAAGATAGATAAGATATAAATATTCAATACTACAGTATATATAATTATTAATTGTTTAATTAATCAAAACAAAATAATAAAGATACATCATTAGTTTAGTTATGATGGGAAAAAAATACTGCATAATAAACTTAGAATAAATATAAAAACTAAAAATTATAGGCCTAATTTAATTATATAGATCTAGCCCTTAATATAAAGGCCTGTAGGCAAATAGATGAAAGATAGATAAGATATAAATATTAAATACTACAGTAGGCCTATATATAATTATTAATTGTTTAATTAATCAAAACAAAATAATAAAGATACATCATTAGTTTAGTTATGATGGAAAAAAAATACTGCATAATAAACTTAGAATAAATATAAAATCTAAAAATTATAGGCCTAATAGTAGGCTAAATATTTTTATCTTAAACTATTTATTCAAATACCCATATGCAACACTGCAGTGTTTAACTATAACTATAATCAAGTAATAATAACTTTAAAACATTTAAGTTAAGGTCCTTCAGTAATGTGATGATTAATCAATGATTGATTAGTAGAGAGTCTATATAAAAATGAAAAAGTGAAGCAGCAGAGATCTAGATTTAGATCTGTATTCTAGTGAATTACAAAATTTAAAATGGTAGTCTACATATTACTTAATGATAATACATATAGACAGGCGAGCCTTGAAACTTTAATTGAATGAATATACGAAAAATGCAGAAATATTACAAAAGATAAATTAACAGGAGATAAGGTTAAACAAAAGACATTAGACAGGAGTTCATCAATAGGTCAGTTTTACATTTTAAATTTAAATGAATTTTTAAAACTTCTAGAATCTAGATCTATGTGTGGCCTACCTTGATTGACTTTGAAACTATATTATTCTAATTTTAAATTTAGGAATAAATATATATTATAAAATATAATATAGACTATAGATCTAGATCTAAATGTTAATAAATGAACTTATCTTGGCAATCATTTTTTTCTGCACTTTTTAGCGTCTCTGCTTCTGTAGTCTGTGTCTACCAACTGACCGCGCAGTAAGCCTTCACCCATGCAAGTGACCATACGATGTGCGCGGTATGTGAACACCAACTCACCTAGTCTAGATCTAGGTCTGTATTTCTACACACAACAATTCAGTGAATTCAATGGTAATATTGGTTGTTTTTTTAAACTGACCAACAAATCAAATTATTAGGTCAACGTTACGATCTGTGACACACGAGGCTAATAAACATAAAATGTTTTGGTTCTCCCCACCCTCCTCTCACTTTCACCAACACAACAGAGAGTTGGTTAACATAGATGTGTCGTGTATAAAAAATCTGATGAATGTTAAATAAAAACATAGATCCAAATGAATAGGCATGTAAAATAATAGGCCTACAAAGTAAGTACGTGAGATCGGGAAAATGATAATATCTCAACAATACAACTGAAAGGGCAGGTCGTATTATAATTATTATAATTAATTAAGATGGCCACTGAAATGGGTTACCAACAATGTTTCTTGAAGGCTTTTTTCTCGAAGGGAGGGGGTGGGATACTCAAAGCTGTAGTGGGAGAGGGCGGACTAAATTTTCCGGAGGGGGGGGGGGGGGCACGCGCTGGTAAAAGTACATATTTTCGATATAAATTGTATTTCGTTCGGGTGGGGGCGATAATCATCCCCACCCCCCAAGAGATTCCTGAAAGAAACACTGGCTACAAATCATTGCCTGTTCTAGACAAAATGAGTTATGCATTTCCTTGCAACAGCATTTATATTAGAAAGGTAACCGAGCTTTTAAAATTTTATTTGGTAGTCTCCCTTTAGAAACTTTTTTTTTTTTTTTTTTTTTTTTTTTTGGAAATGGTGGGTCCTACTAACGGTTATGAGGTCATCCGTAAATGACCTCCAGCTTTTTTGGGCGATTTTTACCTCCCCCTTCCCTCAGTCACACATTGTCACAAAAAGCTAGACCCCCCCCCCTAAAATGACGTCACACCTCAGCCTACAAAATTGCAGTTTTTCTTAAAATACGATATTTTTCCAAAATCTTGTCTGAACTCTGTCAACATAGAGAATTTAAAACAATTCCTATTACAAATTTATTAAATCAGTTTTCTAAAATGTGAAATAACTGCTAAAATTCGTTTTCTAATATTGCTTTTTTATAATGAAAAAGTGTGACGTCACACCATCTGATGATCTGAACACCCCCCCCCCCCCCATCACACACCGTCAGAAAATTACGGACCCCCCTTCTCATGAATGTGATGTCATTTATGGACGACCCCTATGTTTGTAGCAATAGCTTTAAATCGGCGGCTGAAGGGCCTTCTTGTGGCTTTTTTGGACAATTCTCCAATTTCTCAGACGGTTGATCGAAAGTTGTGTCAACAGAGATTTTTTTGACACGTCATTTACCGGGACACCTTGCCATTTGCTAAAACAACATACCACGTGCTTATTGTGACAAAGGTGATTTTAAGAGAGATGTGTCACAATAGAGTACAAAACTTAACACTGGAAATGTTTTGTATTCCCTGGGTGCAACATGTTTTGTTATTTTAATTCTTTTTACACAACACTTTTATTAAGCTGAGCGGGCTCCAGTGGTGATATTTAATGACCATGGCCATCACTACTGAAAATTCTGTCCGTTAATTATTCATACCAACTCAATATTTTGATAGCTTAACTTAAGCAGAGACATTCTGTAGAGCAGATATGTAGCTAATTATACACCTGCTGCCCCCATAAGTTAGTCATTAAGTCAAGTACCTTGTTAGTTAATCTAGGAATTACATATTTGCACACAATTTAGAATTTCTTTAAAACCAGCTCTAGGAATTGCAACCACAGCAACTAGTTTTTTGCAACTAACTTTTTTAAATTAAAAAATCAAACACACTTTCACACTATCTCAAATTGAATCAATAAAAAAAATCAATTGAATAATCTTTAATTTTAAAACAGTCACTTTGTTAATACACATCACCACACAACCCAAAAATCTTATACATAACCACTTTATGTGTAATCATTTAAGTACTGCAACAGATTGACAAGACAATACTAGCCCAAATTTCTCATGGTCAAAACAGACTAGTCAGAAATAAAAATCTGTCTGCATTGCGATGTAATTGAGCTATTACTTAAATCCTAATTAAAATTTTACCTTAAAAGAGCATTACCTCTTACCATTGTCACAAAAACAACAGGACAAAATTAACACAATGTTAAAATTTGTGATACCAGTTAAACCTAACATCTACATCACAGGGCAGATTAAAATCTCTCCTCACCATTACTTTAATTTGTTAATGTAACCACTGGTTCTACTAACAAGCCTTGGAACTTTTTAAACCAGCAACAAAAATACAGCATCACCCAATTCTGGTACCTCAAAATCTATACTTGTAGTGTAAATGAGAAATACAAATAAACATTTCATTTCAAGGTTTACAAATGAAAAATATGTGACTTGTAAAAATGGACAAATGAAGAGGGTGTGGATTACTGTCTATGGTAGTAGCTCTGATCAAACAAAACAGATGTCTTATTGTATTACAACTACGCGCAAAGTAAATTTGGGGTTAAGGCCATAAATGAAAGTGATATATCCAGCAAATAACTTGAGATAACAAAATTAATATCTTGTTCAAAAAGAAAACAATTATACAAGCTTGTATACAGTAACTGGTAAAATTATTGACAACAAATAAATATCTGAGAGTGAAAGGGGTGGGTAAGTTTATTGTTCTAGTGGTTCAGCAGGGGGCTGTTTTTCTTTTTTTCCTTTCTTTTTCTTTGCTTCTTCCTCAATGGGGGCAGGCTTCACAAATGGAATCTTTTCATTGTAGCCTACAATAGATACAGAATTATTATTATAGTTTACTAAATAGTAACATGATTGACTACTGTTCATAAGTTGTAACAAAATAGTTTTTTTTAATAAACATTCAAGTAACAAGGCAAACATAGTTACCAGGGGGCATAAACTTCCTGAGAGCTTCAGGAACTATAACTCCGTCTTCTGTTTGATAGTTCTCTAATATAGCACAGAGAACCCTAGTGGTGGCACACATGGTGGCGTTGAGCATGTGGACAAAGCTGGTCTAGAATGATACAAATGGTAACATATTGACATGAGACAACTAAATAAGTACAAGGTGAATGAGTAAAATTGTGTTCATGGATAAAAAGTTAAAAACTGTTCATTTCTGCCCGAGGCTTTACTTTTCAGTTGACCCTAAAAAAAAGGGATGCAACCCTGATTTGTGTATGTAATTATTTTTAAACTGGCCATGAAGATACAATTTTTAGTAGCTAAATTTTTATAATTATTACTGTCCATGAAAAAATGAGTTTTTAGCAACAACCAAAATATCTCAATTATCAATCAAACTAGAGAAAAACTTCTGGGTTTCATACTATTAAGTTGTTATTTAAAATCATGGGAATATGTGATTTAGCTATTAAAACTGTAAAGTAGGATGTGGCGTGACAAAAAGCATTTAGACATGAGTATGTACCTAGCCTCATTCAGTGAAAATAAGTAAGCACTAACCAGCAAGTTCATCCCTGCTAGTGTTTATATTATTCACATAAAAACCTGACTGAAAATGTTCCTCACCTCTTGCCCCATTTTCTTGGTCTGCCCATATCTGATCCTCAAGCGCCTGGACTGGTAGTCCAAACAGTTTGAGCAGGACACCAGCTCCCTGAAAGCTGCGGACCCAGGAAACCAGGCCTCCAGGTCAAACTTTTTGGCTGCTGCATTGTTCAACTCTCCTGGGTTAAAAAATTAACTTTGGTCAAACTGGGCAATTAGTTGAATTTTAAATAAATGTTTTAAATAACTAGGAAAATGAAGACCTAACTTTATTTTTGCTGGACACTGTGTTTGAGCTTAACAGCCCTTGAAGCCTCATGCATTAGACAAAAGCCAAGAGTGTAGCTGACCTAACCTGAGACAGTGTAGCTGACCTAACCTGAGACAGTGTAGCTGACCTAACCTGAGCCTATATGTGTAGCTGACCTAACCTGAGACAGTGTAGCTGACCTAACCTGAGCCTATATGTGTAGCTGACCTAACCTGAGACAGTGTAGCTGACCTAACCTGAGACAATGTTGACTACCCTGTAGGGGATGCCCAATGCTTTAGTGAACTCTTCAGCATTGCCAATCATCTCCTCAAACATCTCCCATGACTTGTTATCTTCAGGGGAGGTAATGCAGAACTGTTCAACCTAGACAACAAATGGGACCGTACAGCACATCAACTGACTAAAATTATTATACATGATCATACCATTTGACCATATTTGTTAGGGCACACAATTTGAAAATATTTATTAGAGCACACCATTTCATCAAATGCACACCAGTGTCTCCTCATGTATAAGAATAAAGCACATCCTTTGATCAAATTCAGTACATAATTTACATAGGAAACAACTTGTGTTCGTATCAACTTACTTTTTCAAACTGATGGACACGGAAGATCCCCCTAGTGTCTCGTCCGTGGGACCCAGCCTCCTGTCTGAAACATGTGGAGTAGCCCATATACTTGATAGGTAGGGACTCTGTTGGGATCCATTCGTCGCGGTGGAATGATGCGATGGGCTGCTCTGATGTGGCGATCAAGTATTTCTCATCCAAATCACTCTCTTTCTCTTTGTCAGAGGCTTTTCCAACTACCTGTAAACACACATACACAGAGTCAAAGAGGTTTTTCCAACTACCTGTAAACACACAAACACAGAGTTAAAGAGGTTTTTCCAACTACCTGTAAACACACATACACAGAGTTAAAGAGGTTTTTCCAACTACCTGTAAACACACATACACAGAGTCAAAGAGGTTTTTCCAACTACCTGTAAACACACATACACAGAGTCAAAGAGGTTTTTACAACAACCTGTAAACACACATACACAGAGTTAAAGAGGCTTAAGCAGCTGATGAATTGGCCATAGATTACAACAATGTAAACAAACATTGAGAAAACTGCAGCATCTAGCCACATGAGAGATTGAAACCTAATCAATAGCCAGCATACCTTGTACAGTTCCTCATCAAACTGTGACAGCTGGGCCACCTCTTGCATCACCTCTTTACGCATAAAGAAAGGTGTGTACAGTGGTGTGTAGCCTTTAGTGTGTAGCATGGACATGGCTAGGTTGATCAAAGCTTGCTCCATAAACACCAAAGGTCCCTGACAAAAACCACAGACATTTTTTACATAGTAACATTAATATCACTAACTACTGTATTGAATACATAAATCAATAGTGCTTTTGTAACCTGTTGGGATAGCTTAGTAAACTTTAAAAAATCTTCAATGCAGAAAAATCTAAATACTTGTGTGCACTAGCTGAGCAATATCTGTACAGTAATTACAATTAGCCAATTTAAATACAAATTAAGAACTTAAAGGTACTCTTACAGTACAAGAGCTACTAAAAAAGATTTCCCCCTTCAGCACAACATTTAGTAAAAAAAAAAAACTTACCTTGAGAAAGTAGCCTCTGCCCCCTGCCGTGACAGCCCCCCTCTCATTGTCTGCACCATCAATCATCACCACCAAGTCTACATGGGAGTATTTCTTCTTAGTCTCTATATCACCAAATGTTCTCTCCACACCATTGTCATCCTACAGGAAGGTTACATAGAGATATTGCTACACAGTACACAGAATGGAAGTAAGCTGAGATATTATTACATACAGTTAAGTAGACAGAAATTTGTATATGGACTTCAATACACAGAGGAATTACTGCATAGCAACTACATAACAAAGAATGAGTCAACATCCAGATCACAAAATGTGTGTAAAAAATCTCTACCCCAGGTGGGAGCACATAGATACCTAAATCTTTAACTAGGTATGAGGAAGGAGCCAATAGATATCTAAACTTTTAACCAAGGTAGGAGTCAATAGATAACTAAATCTTTAACCCTGGTAGGAGCCAATAGATATCTAAACCTTTAACCAAGGTAGGAGCCAATAGATATCTAAACCTTTAACCAAGGTAGGAGCCAATAGATATCTAAACCTTTAACCAAGGTAGAAGCAAATAGATACCTCATTATTGCTGATGATGCATGAGTCATGCAACAGGTTGCCAATTTCTTTCAGAGACTCGTTCCTTTCTTTTTCTTCTACCAAAAGCTGGGCGTCATTTTCTTTCATCTGACTATCAATGGTTAGACGAACTTTTTTAATCTGTGTCACAGTCAGGGGCTGTGGGAGGAAAAATATATGTGGTTTAGGTTATAAGTCAAGAAAAATATATGTGTAGGTTTTAAGTCAAGAAAAACATGTGATTTAGGTTACAGGTTAAGAAAAATGTATGTGGTTTAGGTTATATGCCAAGAAAAATGTATGTGGTTTAGGTTATAAGTCAAGAAAAATATATGTGGTTTAGGTTATAAGTCAAGAAAAACATGTGATTTAGGTTATAGGTTAAGAAAAATGTATGTGGTTTAGGTTATATGCCAAGGAAAATGTGTGTGGTTTAGGTTATAACCAAGAAAAATGTTTGTGGTTTAGGTTATAACCAAGAAAAATGTGTGTGGTTTAGGTTATATGCCAAGAAAAATGTATGTGATTTATAGGTTATAAGCCCAAAAAAAAAATGTGTTGCTTAGGTTATAGGCCCAAAAAAAAAATGTGTGTGGTTTAGGTTATAAGCCAAGAAAAATGTATGTGGTTTAGGTTGTAAGTCAAGAAAAATGTATGTGGTTTAGGTTATAAGCCAAAACAAAAATGTGTGTGGTTTAGTTTATAAGCCAAGAACAATGTATGCCAACACATAAATCAAACCTGCAGCTTTTCCACAGTTAAGTTTTCAAGGTCTTCTAAGATACCAGCTGGTATAGTCTCATCATCCCCTACTGGCTGCTTATTCTGTTGAATGTTGGAACAAAATCAAATAAGTCATTACATGTTCACAACAAAATCAAATAAGTCATTACATGTTCACAACAAAATCAAAGGGCTGGCTGTAATAATTGATCAATAATAAAGCTAGTCCAACAACCAGAACACACCTTCATTTTGTCTCCTATCTCCTTACTGCAAACATTCTTGAGTTTGTTCAGTAAATCTGCCTTGTAGCGCACTGAAAGTAAACAAGAAATGTAAACAACTCAATAGATCAACAAAAGATAACAATAGAAGCACAAGCAATAAGCACAGCTGGGTTACTGAGTATTCTCAATGCTTTTATTGAGCATTAGACATACTATGCTGACTTTTGTTTACATGTTTAACTTAAATGATTCTATTGCCCACCCTCAAACAAATTTTCTCTTGACAATTGCCCTAAATATATGTCCTACAGGACCCATGTCCTGTACACTGCCAGGCAATCTAATTTGGATAAATTCATAGTTGTCCTACATTATCCATGTCTAGTACCACCTCAGAACACAATTTAGGCAATATTTGGATTAGGTAATGCTTGAATGTTAAGTATTAGAAAAACTAATCAACATTGACACTAAGTTAAAGAGCAAAGAGTAACCTTTCAAGAGATATAGATGTAATTATTCTGTGTAGTATGATTACATAATTACAGCTTCTTAGTGATTGTCTGTAAGAATCAGTTCCAATCCTCAGACAATTGTAAAATATTTGACAATTATGATAATCAACAAAATAGCAACATTTTCCACCTAGTGGACCAGCAAGGTATGTCTTGTCCATTGTCAAAACTGGTAATATTGGATAATTTGTGGATATGTGGAAAGCTTTTAACATTTGTCTGATGTTACTGTAATAATCACACTAGATCTACTTTGAGTTGTAAACAGTTGTTAATATAAGATATCAACAACACAATACTTGATTTCATAAAGTTTGGTAATTTTTTTTAAAACAGTTAAAAATCATTTTAATAATTAAATAAGTTAATGTTCATATGAAGTAGTGCTATTAATAGAAGTTACTCATGGCTAAATGAAAACAATGTAATAAATGTAAGGATTATTTTTATTTTTTTCTACAAAATATTCTAATTCAAGGAAAACAGATTTTTGGGGAACCTATATATTACTTATGTTAAACAATGGGAATAACGTTGATACTTTTATTAGGCTTAACAAAAAAAAACTGTTTTGGAAATACCCAATGCTAAAAATAGATATTTACAAAGTGTTATTCTAAGATAGCACTAAAGTACATAACTACTGTAGGGTTTATTTTTAAAATCCCATGCTTCAAAAATTCAGTCATCAACATAAATATTTTTTTTGCAAGAGACTAGAACATTTAGATACAGTTGACAGTTAAAGATTTGTTTAATAAATACATATTTTAAAAAGATTATAATAAATGATTTAAGTTTTATCTGGTGTGAAATCCTACATTATTATAAAAGTTTAACTATAGGATAATTACAATGGAAATGAAAATACAGACATTTAGTGGACAGTCAGTCACTAAGATTTGTAAAACTGATTTTAACATGTCTTCAAAGCTTTCACACACAAACACACACACTACATAATAAAAACTAAAACTACATTGCATGAAAACAGATTAACAGACTGAAATGTAAACACTAAAATCATTAATTTCACCAACTTAGAATTATCACACTAAAGGATGGACACACTGTTACCCTACTATGGGGATTTGTTTCAACAAGTTTGTGGGAGATCTGTGTCAGCAAGTTAGCTTTGTGCACATATTTCTGTAGCTATCATAACAGATATTGAGATAACAATACTTTATCGTCAGGGATAAGCTAAGGGGATTTTCTTGTAAACTCTGTGACTTAATCATGTGAACTAGCATCACAGAAGAACACCAAAACTAAATCTAACCCCAGTCTCAAACTTAACTCAGAACCTAACAATTTTAAATCCTTAACTAGTCATTTTGTCAATTCAGCTTCAGTCTGAACAAGACACTGACCGGTTTAGTTGTTACTTGTGATTATACATGATTATGAGATGTATAGGTGTATATAGGCTTTCTGATCTGCAATTGGTACCTTAAAGACGTTTGAGGTGATACTAGGTAGGCCTATATGAACTTATATAAGATGTGTATTAGACCCAAAAATGTAGAGCGCATTTTTAAAAGTTAAATACAATTGGTAGCTGTTTTAAATGGTGGTCCATATGGCAGAAGTAGTAGAGATGAATCTTTAACCTCTGAGTATGAAGGAATCTTTACAGGAGTCTTTAACTTGCCCTGTTTTGAGCCAGGTACCCACAAAAACTGGGTAGACAGTGATTTCTTTTTGCCTGCCAATGATCCTAACTCAAGACCTTTATTTATTGCTTACACATTAAGAATTATAAAGTAATGCATTAAGCTTTCATTTATTGTCAGAGTATCATTGTTAGGGTCACTTTAGGTTACGGTTAGATCCAAGGATAAGAGTAGCGCGATTAACATTTAACAAATAAATATTCTTCAATGTGTGATGTTTTTTATACACAAGTACCACATGTTTGTGTCATAACATAACTGACTTTAGGTTTCACATTAGTCATCTTCACTATGGTGTAGGAGTATTCTTTGGTTCTTTACTTAAGAAACATGGACAGAATAATGCAATCGAGTCAAATTTCTTTTGTGCCAGTATCACTATCAATTGCTGTTTTCAAGTAGTGTTAGTACTTCTGATAGGAGGGTTAGGCAACACCAGCCTATCAGAGTATGCCTAAGCCTATAAGCATTACTAATGCAATTGGTCCAGTTGAGAGTCTACTGTCAGAAGATCAAACAGCCTGTCTGATACTATCACTATCCAAAACAATATTGTAAAGCACTGTGGCAGGAGGAAGAAGAAGGGAAAGGCGAAGACAACATTGGATGGATGACATCAAGCAAGGATTGGACTTGAACAGGGCTACACATCACTGAATTAATCAAAGTGGCAGAGGACAGAGATGGATGGCGAAGAATTATGAAGTCCACTGTGGTGCCCCAATGACCCCCCACCCCTAAAAAAGAGATGATGATGCTTTTACTGGTCTGTTGTGTTAGCCTAGCTAGAGTTTGCTAGAGTAGAGGCAAAAGGCAAAACCAGAGTTCAGAGCTGCTTAGTAATTTTTATTTTAGATCTAGAGAGGTTTAGGTTAGGGGCCAATTATTATTTTTGGAGTTAATTAGCTTCAACAAGTAGGGGACCTACAATCTTAATTCATTAATTCTCAATCTAGAATCTAGATAGGCTAATCTACTACTGCTACTACTACTAGAGTAAAGTTCCTCGTGTTGTCAAAACCACGCTGTGGTCACATTCCTGCTTATGGCTTCATATAATATTTGTTTGGATGTTTTATACGAAACTACCAATATCTGCTGTAAACATGTCCATTTCTAAATATATCCAGGTCAAATTCTTTTGTTTCCCTCCTTCTGGAAGACAAGTTTTTAAATTTTCAAGTTTCGAGGTATGACGTCGTAGGCAACTCTAGTTCCCCCTATGAAAAGCACTAGGTCCCGGATGAGATATATAAAACCAACCAATCAAAGCTTTTTATAACTAGGTTAACTATAAATAGCTTTTATTTATGTGCGGGACACTGAAAATACTGTAGTTAAGGCTATTAAAAGAATCTTAGTGGTGAAATGGGGGTGACCACAGCTGGGGTAACGATTTTTCTGTTTTACCCTCGCTGTGGTCACCAACGACTTGAGCTAAACTAGCCTAGATCTAGATGCTCTATATTTCAAGCTAAGTCTAGAACCTGTATAATTTCTAATTTTTTCTGTTGTTTTAAATTATTTCAATCATCTACTTCTTCTAAATCTAGTTTGTGTCTCTAGATACAATCTAATCGAAGCAAATGTTACGTTTTGTCTTGTTAGGGATTGTTACGTCCCTTTGATATGATTATTATGGTTGCGTCCCTTGAGTCATCACTGGGTCATCCGTAATTTGTAGTTAATAAATTTAATTTACGTGTTATTATTTGGTTTTGCAAATCTATTAATTAATTATACAATCATCAACATGTTTAAATGAGTAAAATGTTTATTTCAATTATTAAAATTGGATCAAAATGTAAAAATACGCTAGTGATCACAAGCAGGGACAGGTGACCACAGGCAAATAAAAAAGGGGGAAAAATAGATCACAAGGAGGTTCGTCACTAAAACATGAATATCTCAAATACTATGCGTATGAATACAAAATAACTCATGCATATTAGAGTAGAATGGCAGTGGAGTAATAAAGTACTTTTGGTTTGTTTCTGTGTGAAACGGTTATAAAATAGCGCCCGATGAAAATCGGGAGTTCGGAATTTTTCGCTATGTGTGACCACAGGTGGAACTTGACTCTAGAAATTCTAGAATTCTAGTTCTAGTAAAGTCAAAGTACTAGAGGAGCTTACACTTTTCGGACACACATAGCGAAAAAACGCAACGTAAAAATTCCATGCGGTCTCATTCAGTAACCGCTTAACATAGAAAACAAAAAAAAGTATCATATCTATCCGCAACCATTCTACTTTAATAATGTGTGTGTCATTTTGTATTCATACGCATAGAACTTAAGCTATTCTTGTTATAGTGACTGGGGGGTCTTAACGTGTGTTCGAACACATGTAATACAGTTTTACATGTGTTCGGACACCTTTACCCGTCATCGGACATAGCACTTTTTGTTCATTTAGAATAATTTAAAGTCAATTTAATGAATAAAAACATATATTATATGCATTTATATTGTGTTATTGATTGTTTGTGAGGTAATTTTAATAGTATAAAACCTTTTTCCCACACTCCCAAAGTTCATCCCATTCAGCCATTGCGGCTCGCGCAGTACGCTGCTAAGCCAGCCAGGTCACATGATTCCCCCTCCTCTTTCGCATTCCACTGCCTTCTTGACCTTATTTTGACCCTTTCCCTTCAATAACCAGCCCCTTTTATGCTCTAAATTCTTATTTAATAATATTTTTGTGTTGCTGTCCGCTCCCATGTAAGGCCAAATAAGTTAGCGAACACCCCTTTTTTATTGTTCAAGCACGAAAAAACCCATTAACCTTGACATTTACGATGTTCCATACATATATAGAAGCTATTTATAGTGTAACCTTTTAGCTAAGCATTGATTGGTTCAAGTTTTGCCCCTAAGTCCAACCCTAGGTCACTTCATCCGGCTGGTGTAAAAATAGAAATGTGCGTACCATGCAACGTTAAAAAATTTCTAAAAATAATTCTTGAGAAAGGAAACGGAAGTACTTGACACGGAAGTGTTCATAAATGAACAGTTTACGTGCAGGCGCCGTGGTTTCGCGTGAGACATGCTAATTAAAGTTTCTATGAGCCAAAAACCGACGAAGTGTTCGGTCCTACGTAATTTTTGGTGTGTGTCCGAAAAGTGTAAACTCCTCTAAGTACTAGAATCTAGATTCTAAGTAAGAGAGCTGCTCTTGTAGATCTAGATTTCTAGTAGTAGATAGCAGAATAGTACTAGTAGGCTTATAAAATATAGGCCTAGATCAAGATATAGATCTAGACATAAATAATAAATTATTAGGGGGGGGGGAGGGGAGTTGATAAAGTAAAGTCAGTAAATTGACAATAAAAGAAATCTAAGAAAAACTTACACTTTCTCCAGTTGGTGTCGTGTTCCACTACTTTGTCAACCAAAGTCACATCTTTGAATCTTTTAGCTTGATTTTCTCTTATTTTCCCTGGATTACCACCTTTGTCGGCACGAAAAAGCTCAAGATCCAATACCATTTTCAAATTATAAATCTACCCTACTTGGTAAACAAGTCCGTTATACTGCAAATTGGGTACCCGGCTTACTGTACCTGGACGAGTATACAACTAAGACTACAGTAATCTCAGGGCTAACGTGGAAGCACGCATGCCCCCACTTTACTTCCTTATTGAGAATGCATTGTCAAACAACTGCGAGTATTCCCGATTCTAAAAATCTAAATGTTATTGCAAAAAATTCAGCTTACTGGTATTTTAAAACATGAAACAAAAATAATTATTAAAATAAAACATATTTTCCTGAAAAATACAAGCGCGAGTGAATTACTTTTAATAATACACAATGAGCCTATCAAACTCATTGATTCCTGGTTGCATCATATAGAAAAATAACAGAATCCAGAAAATGTTTATGTAAATAAAGAACATAAACTAAGTTTTAAATTTACATTTTCTTAATAGAATTCTAGTGAACATTAAAACAATTCAACATGATTATTTCCAGTTTTAAATGCGAGCTCATATAGGCCTATGCCCATATTTATATTTAATTTGTAAAAATAATTATAAAATATTAATAATATAATGCGAATGTTTTTCTGTATAGTCAATAAACAGATCTAGTAGTGTCCCTTGAGTGATGGGTAGACCTATATTCTTCCCGACAGACTAAATTAGCTGTTCAAACATTGCTATCTAAAATAACTAATGTTTTACAAGTTTTTTGCATTAATTGTCAAGATTACTACTTTAAAATTTCTTGAAAAGATATATTTTAAAAATGTATCGCGCTTTGTATGCCCATAAAAGCAAACTGCCTAAATATTTGTCTTTTGAAGCTGGTGATAAATTTACATTGGTGGACACCTCAGTTTCTGATCAGTGGTTTCTAGCACAAAATGGTTTAGGAGAAATAGGTTTCGTTCCATTTAATTACATTAAGAAAATACAGGTGAGAAGTGTTGTCATTTTTACTAGATCTAGTGTAGGTTAGTTTAAATCACACTCTGCAATAAAACAAGGAATCATAATGGAATGGGAAAAATTAACTTAGAGGGGCCTACACTTTTATTTTTATTATTTTATCAAGTTTATTTTTACGAGGTAATCTAAAAATACTAAAATCTATCGGTTTAGGTAAAATGCCTTGGCCCTTTACCTAAACAAGTACATTATGATATATGGGTATCAAATAAAATAGATGATTGAATAATAAACACATCGTTCAAATGTATCAGATTTGCTATATAAACAGTGGCCTTCTGTCAATTAGAATGGTTTTCTCTTAATTTCACACTGTAATTTACAACAAACAAAATAACTTTAAAAGATGGCTGCAAAGTTAACAAGCTTGGTTGCATCTGGTAAAAACATTGCTAATCTTTATTTACTAGATCTAGGCCCTAGCCTAAATACTTTAAATAAAATTGTTCAAAAAAAGGTGCAAGAAACATTTTTGTAACTTTTAAAAGTATAAATCCTTGTTAAATAAAGAAATAATTAGGTCCCTACTAAAATATAATTAGTCACCTTTCTGTCACATTATTAACTTCAGCTGATTTTATGTACCTATAAAGATAGATTACCCTTATTATTATTATTATTATTAACAGTAGCTAACAGACTAATGTAGTTTTAATTTTTTTTTTTACCACCAGTAAGCCGGTTGGGTTGAGTGTGGGAGTGTAATTAATAATAGTAGTATTACTGATTCAAACTGTTATAACATCAGGGCTATTGATTAGCAATAAATAACTTTGATACACCCTTTCAGTATTTAAAAGTACCTATTACTCAACTTTGCAGTAATTATTATAAAAATATAATAATTACAATTTGATTACTGTTGTCATTTCTGTACTTAAAAAGGCTGATTCTAGTCAGAAGAAACTATGCATGTGCATAGGAAAGAAAATGAACTACTGTGCATGCATATATTTACAAACCAGTGAATACACATGACAGGGTTTTTCTTGTCATCTTAATATGTTAGACTAAGACTGTTAGTAGATCTAGTAGTGTTGGCGTTAAGCTACTACTGGACTTAAGTATTTTACCCACACACACACACACGTATGTATGTGTATATATATATATATATGTGTATATATATATATATATATATATATATATATATATATATATATATATATATATATATATATATATATGTAACTAGTGTAGTTACTAAAGACGATAAGAACGCAATACAGTCTGTCAACTAAAGACACGATCAAGGCCAAACTGGGCTGATGCAACTGATACAGGGGGTGTGGACTGATAACGAACACAAAGCCATTGCGTAGTTTGGGAAGCGATACGACAGAACTGCGTAGTTCATAGTCTGATGCAACGAATGGAAAGGATTACGAATACGAGGGGATATATTGGGAAGGCGACTGGTAGAAAGCGCAGAACCGAGTTGAAGACTGAACTGTGTGGATGTGTTGTGATTTGTGAGAATAGGAACGATGGACACGTGCATTCTGATATGTGAGGACTAGTGAGGACAGTGGGGGTCAGTTGGTTCATTGTATTCTTGTGGAACATTGATGCATTGTTATGTGGAGCATTTCTATTGATTCATGTAATAAAGAGATCAATGTAAACCTGCACTTCTGAGTATCTGTATTGTGGTCGATGTTGTGTGCTGGTCAAAGATAGCACGAGTAAACACATTCGGTAACATTTGGCACTACAAGTAAATAGACTCGGTAACATATATATACATATATATATATACATACATATATATATATATATATATATACATATATACATATATACATATATATATATATATATATATATATATATATATATATATATATATATATATAAGCTGCAGGCAGGAAGTAGAACAAAATGAAAATTGTCACTTATTTATTTATATAAATTTTTTTTTCTATTTCATTTAAGGCATCCACAGATCAGCTTGTAAAATTTATTGATGGAGCTATGGAAGCCATTCATTTGCAGGCCACAAACAATGGTGGACAGTATTCACATGAACAACGTCTTGTTATGAAGTGATTTTTTTTCTCTCAATATTTAAAAAAAAACATGGGGTTATATTTTTAGTTAACTATTCATTGTATGAAAAATGTTGGCTTTATCATTAAATCTAATTAATATATTACTGGCAGATTGGTGCAGATTTAATGATACCATGTAAGTTTAATTTCTGTTTAACTTATTTTTTTCCTATGTGTTGTTTAATTTTTAGGAAATTAGTGAAACATCGTGGTGATGTGATCAAAAGTGCACCATCTGCAGAAACTAAATCTTCAGGACGAAGACGACCAGCACCAGCGCCACCTGTTGACAAAACAAGCTCTGAAGGCTCTGCAACAAGGAAAGATGTTGACCTTGTTGTTGAAGGCCACAGACCTAATTCTATCATAGAGAGTACAAAATCAAGTGAAAGTGGTTCCAAGAAGAATGTCAAGCAAACTGGCTCCAAGAGTAAGAAATGTGAGAGTCACCGCACCTCCGCTCACTCTGAAATTTGTGCCAGAGACGTCATCCATGACGATGGCGTCAAAAAAAGCAAAAGTGTGACCAGCAGCATTGGTCAAGCCCCCTCATTAGTTTCATCTTTCTCTAGCGATGTGACCACAACCGACTCAATCAATGATAACTCCAGGGCATCAGATGGGAGTGGGTCTGATGATGTGAGCCACAGGTTCAAGCTGTCTGCTAATGAGGAAACAAACAGACAAGGTTACGCTGGTCAAGCTCATTCTAGTGAGAAGGGCAATGGCTTTGATTCAGATGAAGAGGCAACCCAATGTAAAGGTGACCAGAGCTTGGTCCAGTCGACACACAGTGATGTCGATTTTTGCGATGATACATATCCTGGCGTCATGCCGCCACCACCTATACAATATGATTTAGATGAAAGCTACGACAACAGGGCATCTATCAGCGACATGAATGATGTAGAACTACCATTAGAAGACTTGCCCCCTCCTCCTCCAGAAGATTATGATGAATTTGAAGATGACCGACTCCCCCCTGCCCCCACAGACTTGTCACCAGTGGAAGAAGTGTTGAAGGTGGACGACATGTATGTCAGCCTCAACTCAGACATCTTAGAACTATGTGGCAGGAAGCCTCTAGAGGAATGTTGCTGTGATGATTTCCAGCCAAAGTTTGATCCTAAAGGAAAATTCTTCGCTCAGTAAGTGCTAAACAGTTTTTTGGACATGCTACAAAATAACTATAATCTGTTGATCAGTTTTAGATTGTAAGCAGTTAACATGCTTTTAATGTAAATAACAAAAGAAATTATTTTTAAAACTTTAGCCATATAAATAAACAAATTCTTTTTCCCAAGACTAATTTCACTGACCCCATTGTTTAGCAATTCCTTGGAGTTGTTGCCCCCAAGAAACGTCAAGGTAAAAAAGAAAGAGAGGCACGAGTCCAAACTGGCGTCCCGGGTGTTTGGGTCTGTGTTGAAGCATGCAGATGCTGCAAGTGGCAGGGAATCCTTACACAAACAACAGGAGCTGCTGGAACTGGCCCAGGCCCACTGTGTTCAGGTGACCCATGCTGACTGTGAGGAGATGATTGGTGAGGTATGTTCAGGCGTGCAATTTTAGGGCTCTCACATTTTATATATTTATACAATGTAGAAACCTAAGGAGACAGGGAAAGCAAATTTTTGGCTTTATGGTAATTTTTTATTGCCTTAGAGTATTATTAAACAGTTCATTGGCTAATGTCTTCTATACATTTTCAGTTTTAGATATATCTGTATGTTTTCTACTTTTGTTATTTTAGTCTTTTAAATTTCGTCAGTTTCGCAGAGTAACAAACCTGAGCCACGAAGAGAGCCACTGGGCCATTGTGACTGTCATGAACCTGCTGTCTGCTAAAGTGCCCCACATCAAACCTTCCCTGGAGGTTGTAGGGATGCGCTTTGGTCTGGCTCATGAGGTATGTTAGGACACTTCACTCATCTGTTAATTACATAATCAATCTCCATATTTGAATTAATCATTAAACCTCACTCATCTATTCCATGACCAATCTCCATTTTCCAATTTATCATTAAAGAATCATGCTAGTTGTTTTAATTTTTAAATACATTTTAAAAAAAAATGCCCATGTCTTAATTTAAAATTACCTCTTGTCATTCCTATGATGCCATTGATGGCTAGAATACGTGCATGTTTTCAGTGCCGGAGTACAGGCCGAGACTACCAGTGTGAGGACATGTTGACACTAGAACGTTTGATATCAGAGCTGGCGGCTGTAACCAATGACTCGCAGCAGCGCGGGCACTACCTCAGGGATGACCTTGACAGCATTATAGACATCATCACTGGCTTGTCTGAGACATTGGTAATTTATAACTGTCTGAGACATTGGTAATTTATAACTGTCTGAGACATTGGTAATTTATAACTGGCCTGTCTGAGACATTGGTAATTTATAACTGGCCTGTCTGGGACATTGGTAATTTATAACTGGGTTGTCTGAGACATTGGTAATTTATAACTGTCTGAGACATTGGTAATTTATAACTGACCTGTCTGAGACATTGGTAATTTATAACTGGGTTGTCTGAGACATTGGTAATTTATAACTGGCTGAGACATTGGTAATTTATAACTGGCCTGTCTGAGACATTGGTAATTTATAACTGGCCTGTCTGAGACATTGGTAATTTATAACTGTCTGAGACATTGGTAATTTATAACTGACCTGTCTGAGACATTGGTAATTTATAACTGGGTTGTCTGAGACATTGGTAATTTATAACTGGCCTGTCTGAGACATTGGTAATTTATAACTGGCCTGTCTGAGACATTGGTAATTTATAACTGTCTGAGACATTGGTAATTTATAACTGGCCTGTCTGAGACATTGGTAATATATAACTGGCCTGTCTGAGACATTGGTAATTTATAACTGGCCTGTCTGAGACATTGGTAATATATAACTGTCTGAGACATTGGTAATTTATAACTGGCCTGTCTGAGACATTGGTAATTTATAACTGTCTGAGACATTGGTAATTTATAACTGGCCTGTCTGAGACATTGGTAATTTATAACTGGCCTGTCTGAGACATTGGTAATTTATAACTGTCTGAGACATTGGTAATTTATAACTGTCTGAGACATTGGTAATTTATAACTGGCCTGTCTGAGACATTGGTAATTTATAACTGGCCTGTCTGAGACATTGGTAATTTATAACTGGCCTGTCTGAGACATTGGTAATTTATAACTGTCTGAGACATTGGTAATTTATAACTGTCTGAGACATTGGTAATTTATAACTGTCTGAGACATTGGTAATTTATAACTGTCTGAGACATTGGTAATTTATAACTGACCTGTCTGAGACATTGGTAATTTATAACTGTCTGAGACATTGGTAATTTATAACTGTCTGAGACATTGGTAATTTATAACTGGCCTGTCTGAGACATTGGTAATATATAACTGGCCTGTCTGAGACATTGGTAATTTATAACTGGCCTGTCTGAGACATTGGTAATATATAACTGTCTGAGACATTGGTAATTTATAACTGGCCTGTCTTAGACATTGGTAATTTATAACTGGGTTGTCTGAGACATTGGTAATTTATAACTGTCTGAGACATTGGTAATTTATAACTGTCTGAGACATTGGTAATTTATAACTGGGTTGTCTGAGACATTGGTAATTTATAACTGGCCTGTCTGAGACATTGGTAATTTATAACTGGCCTGTCTGAGACATTGGTAATTTATAACTGTCTGAGACATTGGTAATTTATAACTGGCCTGTCTGAGACATTGGTAATATATAACTGGCCTGTCTGAGACATTGGTAATTTATAACTGGCCTGTCTGAGACATTGGTAATATATAACTGTCTGAGACATTGGTAATTTATAACTGGCCTGTCTGAGACATTGGTAATTTATAACTGTCTGAGACATTGGTAATTTATAACTGGCCTGTCTGAGACATTGGTAATTTATAACTGGCCTGTCTGAGACATTGGTAATTTATAACTGTCTGAGACATTGGTAATTTATAACTGTCTGAGACATTGGTAATTTATAACTGGCCTGTCTGAGACATTGGTAATTTATAACTGGCCTGTCTGAGACATTGGTAATTTATAACTGGCCTGTCTGAGACATTGGTAATTTATAACTGTCTGAGACATTGGTAATTTATAACTGTCTGAGACATTGGTAATTTATAACTGTCTGAGACATTGGTAATTTATAACTGTCTGAGACATTGGTAATTTATAACTGACCTGTCTGAGACATTGGTAATTTATAACTGTCTGAGACATTGGTAATTTATAACTGTCTGAGACATTGGTAATTTATAACTGGCCTGTCTGAGACATTGGTAATATATAACTGGCCTGTCTGAGACATTGGTAATTTATAACTGGCCTGTCTGAGACATTGGTAATATATAACTGTCTGAGACATTGGTAATTTATAACTGGCCTGTCTTAGACATTGGTAATTTATAACTGGGTTGTCTGAGACATTGGTAATTTATAACTGTCTGAGACATTGGTAATTTATAACTGTCTGAGACATTGGTAATTTATAACTGGGTTGTCTGAGACATTGGTAATTTATAACTGGCCTGTCTGAGACATTGGTAATTTATAACTGGCCTGTCTGAGACATTGGTAATTTATAACTGTCTGAGACATTGGTAATTTATAACTGGCCTGTCTGAGACATTGGTAATATATAACTGGCCTGTCTGAGACATTGGTAATTTATAACTGGCCTGTCTGAGACATTGGTAATATATAACTGTCTGAGACATTGGTAATTTATAACTGGCCTGTCTGAGACATTGGTAATTTATAACTGTCTGAGACATTGGTAATTTATAACTGGCCTGTCTGAGACATTGGTAATTTATAACTGGCCTGTCTGAGACATTGGTAATTTATAACTGTCTGAGACATTGGTAATTTATAACTGTCTGAGACATTGGTAATTTATAACTGGCCTGTCTGAGACATTGGTAATTTATAACTGGCCTGTCTGAGACATTGGTAATTTATAACTGGCCTGTCTGAGACATTGGTAATTTATAACTGTCTGAGACATTGGTAATTTATAACTGTCTGAGACATTGGTAATTTATAACTGTCTGAGACATTGGTAATTTATAACTGTCTGAGACATTGGTAATTTATAACTGACCTGTCTGAGACATTGGTAATTTATAACTGTCTGAGACATTGGTAATTTATAACTGTCTGAGACATTGGTAATTTATAACTGGCCTGTCTGAGACATTGGTAATATATAACTGGCCTGTCTGAGACATTGGTAATTTATAACTGGCCTGTCTGAGACATTGGTAATATATAACTGTCTGAGACATTGGTAATTTATAACTGGCCTGTCTTAGACATTGGTAATTTATAACTGGGTTGTCTGAGACATTGGTAATTTATAACTGTCTGAGACATTGGTAATTTATAACTGTCTGAGACATTGGTAATTTATAACTGGGTTGTCTGAGACATTGGTAATTTATAACTGGCCTGTCTGAGACATTGGTAATTTATAACTGGCCTGTGTGAGACATTGGTAATTTATAACTGGCCTGTCTGAGACATTGGTAATTTATAACTGTCTGAGACATTGGTAATTTATAACTGGCCTGTCTGAGACATTGGTAATTTATAACTGTCTGAGACATTGGTAATTTATAACTGGGTTGTCTGAGACATTGGTAATTTATAACTGGCCTGTCTGAGACATTGGTAATTTATAACTGACCTGTCTGAGACATTGGTAATTTATAACTGAGACATTGGTAATTTATAACTGGCCTGTCTGAGACATTGGTAATTTATAACTGTCTGAGACATTGGTAATTTATAACTGTCTGAGACATTGGTAATTTATAACTGGCCTGTCTGAGACATTGGTAATTTATAACTGTCTGAGACATTGGTAATTTATAACTGGCCTGTCTGAGACATTGGTAATTTATAACTGGCCTGTCTGAGACATTGGTAATTTATAACTGGCCTGTCTGAGACATTGGTAATTTATAACTGTCTGAGACATTGGTAATTTATAACTGGCCTGTGTGAGACATTGGTAATTTATAACTGGCCTGTGTGAGACATTGGTAATTTATAACTGTCTGAGACATTAATAATTTATAACTGGTCTGTATGAGACATTTGTACCACTTGGAGATTTTCTTTAACTTTTTTTGATTTAGTTTTTTCAGCACATCGCATATTTGTTTTATCTGTTTATTTAGCTCAATGATCTATGAAAAAAGAATTGTCATGTCTATTAAATTATAATTTCACCTTTTTTCTCCCAGAGTAATGCCAAGCACTGTGTCAGTGTGGCAGCTATACAGAAGGACAACTACAACATGGTGGAAGTCATTGCCAAGTATTACCAAATGGTAAAAATATTTCTATCATTGTTTTTGAAGACTTTACATACTGGAGAGTTTTATAAAAGTTTTGTTTTGTTTAATTCAGTGTAATTTTTAAAAATGTTGTAATCTACATTACAGCTTTTGTATACAGTTTCAAACCATAATTTTGTAAGCTACAATTGTGTATTTGTTGTGCAGGAGACGAGGTGGGTCATAAGATCGTGCATGCTGCAGTTGATTGAGACCATCTGCCGACTCAATTCTCTAGCCATCCAAGAGTTTCTGTACTCAGAGCTGCCGCAGGAAATGGTTGCAGAGATGCAGCAACACCAGAACTGTAGGTTATATTATAACCATATTGTTAACCATTTTAGTAGATTCATTTAAATTTAATTATTAGAGTGCTTTAAAGAGATTTTGTAATGGGTAGTAAATGTTTTTAGTAAAGTTAAATAATTTTTACAGGTGATACACGAGTACTGCAAGTGGCAAAAACTCTAGGGATCATTTTTATGAAAGGACAGACCTCCCCTCACAAGCTTGCTTGTAACTATCTCTTTTATAAATATTCTTACTGTACAGATAGGAAAATTTATTTTGTTATTTTGGTAATGTAAAATATTTTAATTCATAATTTCATTTAAATGTTGGCAGAAAATTAAAGTATAATATAAAATTTTGGGAAAAATCTTTTTCTCGATAATGGGACTGTTTACCTGGCAAAAATGTAATGCTGAAGCTTTAAGTGTGATCTTTTTTTATTTTAAGTAAAGATTAAATTAAAAATACTGTGTTTAAAAAATTGTTTGATACTAAGTCAGTTGTTTTTGTTTCAGCAACTATGGACATTCATTTCTTCATCTGGCTCCTGGGCATGTCTGAGACAATGGCTGAGCTGAATCGCCTGAACGACGTGGACACTCTGCTAGCGCTGGTCTGTGCCTACCACCTGCAGCATGAGGACTGCTCCCAGAACCCCGTCACTGAGGCGCTCAAGTTGGCCCAGGCACACGCACTCCTGGCTTCATCCCTCATCTTCTTGTCTAAACATGGTACTTTCTTCATTCATGTCTACATGGTACTTTCTTCACTCATGTCTACATGGTACTTTCTTCATTCATGTCTACATGGTACTTTCTTCATTCATGTCTACATGGTACTTTCTTCATTCATGTCTAAACATGATACTTTCTTCACTCATGTCTCCATGGTACTTTCTTCATTCATGTCTACCTGGTACTTTCTTCATTCATGTCTACATGGTACTTTCTTCATTCATGTCTACCTGGTACTTTCTTCATTCATGTCTAAACATGGTACTTTCTTCATTCATATCTACATGGTACTTTCTTCACTCTTGTCTAAACATGGTACTTTCTTCATTCATGTCTACATGGTACTTTCTTCATTCATGTCTACATGGTACTTTCTTCCTCTTGTCTGAACATGGTACTTTCTTCATTCACGTCTACATGGTACTTTCTTCATTCATGTTTACATGGTACTTTCTTCATTCATGTCTACATGGTACTTTCTTCATTCATGTCTACATGGTACTTTCTTCATTCATGTCTACATGGTACTTTCTTCATTCATGTCTACATGGTACTTTCTTCACTCTTGTCTAAACATGGTACTTTCTTCATTCATGTCTAAACATGGTACTTTCTTCATTCATGTCTACATGGTACTTTCTTCATTCATGTCTACATGGTACTTTCTTCATTCATGTCTACATGGTACTTTCTTCATTCATGTCTAAACATGGTACTTTCTTCACTCATGTCTACCTGGTACTTTCTTCATTCATGTCTACATGGTACTCTATTCACTCATGTCTAAACATGGTACTTTCTTCATTCATGTCTACATGGTACTTTCTTCATTCATGTCTAAACATGGTACTTTCTTCATTCATGTCTACATGGTACTTTCTTCATTCATGTCTACATGGTACTTTCTTCATTCTTGTCTACATGGTACTTTCTTCATTCATGTCTACATGGTACTTTCTTCATTCATGTCTACCTGGTACTTTCTTCATTCATGTCTACATGGTACTCTATTCACTCATGTCTAAACATGGTACTTTCTTCATTCATGTTTACATGGTACTTTCTTCATTCATGTCTACATGGTACTTTCTTCACTCATGTCTACATGGTACTTTCTTCATTCATGTCTACATGGTACTTTCTTCATTCATGTCTACATGGTACTTTCTTCATTCATGTCTACATGGTACTCTATTCACTCATGTCTTAACATGGTACTTTCTTCATTCATGTCTACATGGTACTTCTCCACTAATGTCTAAACATGGTACTTTCTTCACTCATGTCTACATGGTACTTTCTTCATTCATGTCTACATGGTACTTTCTTCACTCATGTCTACATGGTACTTTCTTCATTCATGTCTAAACATGGTACTTTCTTCACTCATGTCTACATGGTACTTTCTTCACTCATGTCTACATGGTACTTTCTTCATTCATGTCTACATGGTACTTTCTTCACTCATGTCTACATGGTACTTTCTTCACTCATGTCTACATGGTACTTTCTTCATTCATGTCTAAACATGGTACTTTCTTCACTCATGTCTACATGGTACTTTCTTCACTCATGTCTACATGGTACTTTCTTCACTCTTGTCTAAACATGGTACTTTCTTCACTCTTGTCTAAACATGGTACTTTCTTCACTCTTGTCTAAACATGGTACTTTCTTCATTCATGTCTACATGGTACTTTCTTCATTCATGTCTAAACATGGTACTTTCTTCATTCATGTCTACATGGTACTTTCTTCACTGTCTTAACATGGTACTTTCTTCATTCATGTCTACATGGTACCTTCTTCATTCATGTCTAAACATGGTACTTTCTTCATTCATGTCTACATGGTACTTTCTTCATTCATGTCTACATGGTACTTTCTTCATTCATGTCTAAACATGGTACTTTCTCCACTCATGTCTAAACATTGTACTTTCTCCACTCATGTCTACATGGTACTTTCTTCATTCATGTCTACATGGTACTTTCTTCATTCATGTCTACATGGTACTTTCTTCATTCATGTCTAAACATGGTACTTTCTTCATTCATGTCTACATGGTACTTTCTTCATTCATGTCTACCTGGTACTTTCTTCATTCATATCTACATGGTACTCTATTCATTCATGTCTACATGGTACTTTCTTCATTCATATCTAAACATGGTACTTTCTTCATTCATATCGACATGGTACTCTATTCACTCATGTCTAAACATGGTACTATCTTCACTCATGTCTACATGGTACTTTCTTCACTGGTGTCTAAACATGGTACTTTCTTCATTCATATCTAAACATGGTACTTTCTTCATTCATGTCTACATGGTACTTTCTTCATTCATGTCTACATGGTACTTTCTTCATTCATGTCTAAACATGGTACTTTCTTCATTCATGTCTACATGGTACTTTCTTCATTCATGTCTACATGGTACTTTCTTCATTCTTGTCTACATGGTACTTTCTTCATTCATGTCTACATGGTACTTTCTTCATTCATGTCTACCTGGTACTTTCTTCATTCATGTCTACATGGTACTCTATTCACTCATGTCTAAACATGGTACTTTCTTCATTCATGTTTACATGGTACTTTCTTCATTCATGTCTACATGGTACTTTCTTCACTTATGTCTACATGGTACTTTCTTCATTCATGTCTACATGGTACTTTCTTCATTCATGTCTACATGGTACTTTCTTCATTCATGTCTACATGGTACTCTATTCACTCATGTCTTAACATGGTACTTTCTTCATTCATGTCTACATGGTACTTCTCCACTAATGTCTAAACATGGTACTTTCTTCACTCATGTCTACATGGTACTTTCTTCATTCATGTCTACATGGTACTTTCTTCACTCATGTCTACATGGTACTTTCTTCATTCATGTCTAAACATGGTACTTTCTTCACTCATGTCTACATGGTACTTTCTTCACTCATGTCTACATGGTACTTTCTTCATTCATGTCTACATGGTACTTTCTTCACTCATGTCTACATGGTACTTTCTTCATTCATGTCTACATGGTACTTTCTTCATTCATGTCTACATGGTACTTTCTTCATTCATGTCTAAACATGGTACTTTCTTCATTCATGTCTACATGGTACTTTCTTCATTCATGTCTACCTGGTACTTTCTTCATTCATATCTACATGGTACTCTATTCATTCATGTCTACATGGTACTTTCTTCATTCATATCTAAACATGGTACTTTCTTCATTCATATCGACATGGTACTCTATTCACTCATGTCTAAACATGGTACTATCTTCACTCATGTCTACATGGTACTTTCTTCACTGGTGTCTAAACATGGTACTTTCTTCATTCATATCTAAACATGGTACTTTCTTCATTCATGTCTACATGGTACTTTCTTCATTCATGTCTACATGGTACTTTCTTCATTCATGTCTACATGGTACTTTCTTCATTCATGTCTACATGGTACTTTCTTCATTCATGTCTAAACATGGTACTTTCTTTGTTCATGTCTAAACATGGTACTTTCTTCACTCATGTCTACATGGTACTTTCTTCATTCATGTCTACATGGTACTTTCTTCACTCTTGTCTAAACATGGTACTTTCTTCACTCGTGTCTACATGGTACTTTCTTCACTCATGTCTACATGGTACTTTCTTCACTCATGTTTAAATATGGTACTTTCGTTACCTCATAAAATGTACTGACATCTAAACATTTTAATAATCTGAAACTTATGAAGTTTCATACTACATTTTTTTTCCTTTATTTAACAGTATGGAAAAAATTTGTGATTTAAAAAGAAATTTTTTTCTTCAAAAATGTCTTTTATGTAATGTGTAATTTTTGTAAGCAATGTGCTGTGTACACGAGGGTCAGCCTAATAACCTGATGTCTTTCTCTGGGAGGGTCAGCCTAATAACCTGATGTCTTTCTCTGGGAGGGTCAGCCTAATAACCTGATGTCTTTCTCTGGGAGGGTCAGCCTAATAACCTGATGTCTTTCTCTGGGAGGGTCAGCCTAATAACCTGATGTCTTTCTCTGGGAGGGTCAGCCTAATAACCTGATGTCTTTCTCTGGGAGGGTCAGCCTAATAACCTGATGTCTTTCTCTGGGAGGGTCAGCCTAATAACCTGATGTCTTTCTCTGGGAGGGTCAGCCTAATAACCTGATGTTTTTCTCTGGGAGGGTCAGCCTAATAACCTGATGTCTTTCTCTGGGAGGGTCAGCCTAATAACCTGATGTTTTTCTCTGGGAGGGTCAGCCTAATAACCTGATGTCTTTCTCTGGGAGGGTCAGCCTAATAACCTGATGTTTTTCTCTGGGAGGGTCAGCCTAATAACCTGATGTCTTTCTCTGGGAGGGTCAGCCTAATAACCTGATGTCTTTCTCTGGGAGGGTCAGCCTAATAACCTGATGTTTTTCTCTGGCACCAGATGACCCCACAAGACTGCTGGAGTCTGGCATAGAGCCCAAGGTCAACTCCGTCATCCTGCTGTTAACAAATTTATTTGACAACCCAGACACATCAGACCTCCTGTACACCAACGATGTTGAAGCCCTCATCGGCATCTTTGAGGAGTTTTTACGAGATCTCAGCCAGGATGATCCAGTCAGTTGGTTATTTTGTTAAATTAATATAACCAGAATTATATGCCATACCTCTAGTCTTATAATGTTTTGATGAGCTAGGACAATCCAGTCAGTTAAATTAATATAACCAGAATTTTATGCCATACTGTCTTTCAAGGTTTTGATTGCTGGTTTAAAACGCTGCATTTAACACCTTGGAATTCTAGAGATGGCTATGTGTAAATTAGTAATCATTTCTCACATCATCTCAATTTATAAATGTACTTGTGTTTAACTGTAATTGAAGTTAGCTAAAATAATATTGGTAATGAAAACTTAAAAGAGACTTTTTTTATCTTCAACAGCTGCGAAAGGAAATGCTGCACCTACTAGAAAATTTTCTGCGTAATTACCCAGACACAATGACGTTTAAAAGGGCGCTATGCTTGCGTCTGGGCAGACTGTTAGTAAATATTCAAGAAGAGAAAGGAAGTTACGGGGAAATAGCTGGTAGAATCCTGGAAGACAACAGTGTTATATTTGATGACATTTGACCCTGATGCCAGTCGCTGTAGTTTAATTTATCTCTGCTGTTCAATTACATTCTCTTAGTCTTGTGATAGTGATATCAAATTTTTGATCAAGTAGCTAGTTTTGATTTCTACTTTTTTCTCTCTTTTTACCTGCACACAGACTTAAAAATATGAAAATTCCAGAATTTTACCCTGGAATTTAACTTCTGTATAACCATCAATGTCAGCATGTTGATCATTTCTGTCATTTAATTTTACAACTATAAATGTTAAATTCAGTATTAATTAGAATTTTAAATCATAGATTATTTATTTTTCTATTACATTGCTTAATATTTCTTAAAACATTAGCTTACTTTTTAAATACGCTTACTCAGTAATGGATATTATACTACAATTTTATTACAATTTTTTTACCACCATTTGCATTATACGACCATAATTTTCCCACCTTTTATACATTCTCTCTCAGAGACTTGCATTTATAATGGACAATAATAGATTTTCTTTGAGTAGATTATCCTGCATTTGATTCCTATACTGGTGATCCCTTTCTGTTAATCCAACTTTTCATCTGCCATTGGTCGGTATACATAACTGTTGTTTTCTGTTGCGAGTAATTTATGCAGTGTTAGAGTCTTGTTTTTGCTTGCCTGCATAACTAACCTGTGTTTTTGTGCAATAATGCTGTAAGAAAATGTTTACATTGTTTGTTTTATGTACAATGAATCAAATTTAGGTTTTTTAATTATTCATTTTGAAATGCCTTGTAACACTGTTGTTTTAATCACTGTAATGTTGTTGAAAATTTTGTTCAATTTTAATGAGACATTGATTTGGGTATATGAACATTAAAAGTCTTGGGTATTTATTAAATGACCTAGGTGACTAGTTACATTTTAAAATTATCCTTTATATCCGTTATTTGGCCGTATACCAAATATCACCTATCTTCCTACCAGGGTATGTTTTAAATGTCAACAGTGACCCTAATACATATGATAAAATCGTGGCTAACATCTATTTAAAATGTCCATTGCTCAATAAGGGTTAAAGATTTTTTTCTATCTACATGTCCTTTACCATCTCACTGAGGTTGTGATTTTTTTAACTTTTTTTTTAAAAAAGGAGAATAACTTTATATAAATGTAGCTATTTATTACAAATTATTTGCATAATTGAATGACCCAGTAAGACTTGAGTGTTTGCACACCTAGCACAGCACCATGGATGTGCCACTTAGTTTTTGTGTCACACTTTTGGGTTCATTTATGAGTAGTTTTAAACATTATTGTGTCTGTGTTTTAATTGCTTCCCTTGTGTGATTATTTTAAAATCATCTTATTTGAAAACTGTTACCAATCAAATTAAAACAACAATTTTTACATTTTTCTTCTGTGGCACCATACAAATTTTTGCTTATGCCATTTTGAAACTTAATATTGAAGCATTTTAAACTAGACTCAGTTTCATGGAAAATACTCATGTACCTTATGCATCAGTTAATATTTGAATATTAAACTGCTTATATTATTACCATAGACTGTGTATGATTGATATCAAATTGCTTATATTATTACCATAGACCATGTATGATTGATATCTAAATATCAAATTGCTTATATTATTACCATAGACTGTGTATGATTGATATCAAAATATCAAATTGCTTATATTATTACCATAGACTGTGTATTATTTTAAATGAATTTTTTCACTCTATCCTGGTTAATGCTAGATTATTTTTTTGTTTTCTTATAAAAGGGTAAAGTTAATTTATATCACACATATCTAAAGACAAGATAAAGCATCATGTAGGTTTAATCTGACCATGTTAGGTTGAATCTGACAATATTAGGTTTAATCTGACCATGTTAGGTTGAATCTGACAATATTAGGTTGAATCTGACCATATTAGGTTGAATCTGACCATACTAAGCTTTACTATGACCATGTTAGGTGTAAACTGTAACAAATGATCTGACCTACTCAGCTGGTATTTTCCCAGCTAGCTGATCTGTTAAGTGCCTCAATGGACTTCCTCATGCCCTGAAGTTGGAAGGGATTTTTGTGTAACGAGTTCATCTCACACAGAGAATTTTTGTGTAACTAGCTCATCTCACACAGAGAATTTTTGTACTAATGGGTAATTGTAACTAGCTCATTTCTCTGGGAAAATTTTTGTGTAACTAGTTCATTTCACACAGAATTTTTGTTTAACTAACTCATTTCACACAGAGAATTTTTATTTAACTAGCTCATTTCACTTGGAGAATTTTTGTACTAATTGGAAATTGTAACTATTTTTTTCTTTTACACATTCAAGACTAAAACACTTGATTTGTTATGTAACCTTAAACAAGATAAAAGAAGTTTGTTTTTTCAAATATCTGACTTAATCCATTTGTTAAAAAATGGTGTTTCTAGAAACATGGTTCAGTATATTGGAAAAAAAGTTTTTTGTTTGTTTTCTATCTTGCACTGGCAAGTATTTAAAAAAATACTTTTCACTGACAATCCTTCATTTAGTGCTTCCTCGTACAGTATTTTTAGCTTTTTAAAAACAAAATTGATTGTCAAGGCTAAATTTCAGCTGCTGACAATTCAAGATTTTGGCTGCTAACTAGCTGTTGATAAAGAATAATTTGTCATTTACCTGCTGATCAATAAACGAGCTTGTTGATAAATGATGTAAACTTGATTAATTATAGTTCAGTTTTTAATACATCACTGTTCTAAGTAGAAACATAATTATTTTTATATGCACTATGTATACTAGTTGTAATAGAAAACAAAGTTAACCAATTAAATATTTGAATTGGTCACTTAATTACTCTGCTGTTTCATTTAATCTGCGAACAAATCATGAAGTTATAATGGATAATTTATGCACTGATTTTACAAGATTCATTCCTAATTTGCTCATAAATATTGTCAATTTGGTTTTTTTTCTTGTATAGTTTGGAATGTAGATGTACGTCCATGAAAAAGTGCTGGTCTCGTTAAAAAAGATTTATCACTGTAAACCTTCTGTGCTAACTTTACAACCAATGTTACTGGGGCATGGATGAGCAATGTATTGTTTGCTTAAGTGGGTTAACTGTTGTTGTGTTGGCTTAAGTAGAGGCTGACCATGTCTCCACTGTCCATCTGGTGTTACAATCACTTTAATATGCTCCATCTAGTGTCATTGCATTAAAGCACGGGTGATTATAGCTAGTCAGTGGTTTATTTTCAAACTTGATGTCTGCTGTCAATTATCAGAAGCACTTAATTGTTTTACATACATATTGATATACTTATTAAATCAGATAAAACTATATATTTCCACCCAATCACTAACCTTAGCACTAGACTTAACACTTGGAGTCAACTGTATTTAGAGGAGATATCATTGCATGAGTACATTGGTACATTCAGTTGTGTTAACATTTGAAGCCTATTGTCATTTTGTTTTTTACTTTCAAGTCATTAAAGATAGGGTCTACAGTATTTCACACTCAACATCTAGCTGAATGCGTACTAGTCCTAAACCACTAGAGTATATATGCAGTTATGTCACTGGTTTATTTGTGTTTGTGTTAATTATAATTTTGTTGCCTAACAATTCCAGTTCATGTGATAGAATATTTATCATTTTAATTTATTTTCCTTTAGAACTTGCCTTGTGTTTTATTAGAGAATTTTTTATCTAGTAAACCTGTTGTACCATTTGTTGGTTACTTATTCTTTTTTTTTATTTAAGTTACAAAACTAATTTTATTACCTTTTTGAAGAATCCTAATACAGAGGGTAACTGCTAAAAAAAATCTGTGGAACATAGTCAAACCTAACCCTGGCTTTAAACCAATCCTAACCATAGATTACCACCCCCAGCATATAACTCTGCTGTCTGCCATAGTATTCCAAATACCAGCGTGTGCTGCCAACAGTTTAGTTGGATGCCTAGTCACGCCTGTGAGAAGAATGTTTTAACCTGGCTGTTCATGTCACAGATTTGACTTTGGCATATGAAGGGATAGCAGTCAGCACTATGTTCAACCACCTTTACTTTTTATAACATGAGTCAAGTATGCATCAGAGCTGGGTAAACGAAGGATATGAGTAGCTGTGTGCTCTACCAGGGCAGACGACCAAACAGAAAAACTTGCAAACCACTATAAGCATTGGTAACTTTATTACAAGTATACACATATCATAAATTTATGTGCTAGATAATAATAGTAACAGTTTTCTAAAAAAAAGTAATCAGTGAACAGTTAACTGTAGAATTCAATTAAACATCAAACAAAACATGGATCAGATATACACAAAATATTGTATGGATCAGATCTGGAGGTGACCAGCTAGATTTATCTGACCACTGTTGCAACCCAGTGGGAACAAATATACACAGAATCTTTCTTTGCTTTAAAAAAAATGTTTAGCAGTAAGGCTGAGAAGCTTGGAACATAAAAAGACAACTCTACATTACACCTCTTGTTCACTCCCCTTGTCATCTACATTTTTGTCCTGTGTAAGCATACTAAGATCATTTTAATCCTGCATAAGTAATCAATAGCTTACATACTAAGACAATTTTAAGCATGGCAATGGCTTACATGCTCAGATAATTTTCTTCCACATACTAATACACAGCTGAAAAGCCAAAGCTATAAATCTCAAGATAGACGAGCCCCAAAGCTTAGGAAACAATAGCCCTCTGTGGGACTAGCAAGTCATTATTGTAATTAAAGCATTCTTTTGTTTAAAAATGTTTCTTTGATACCTATTGAGGATAATAGTGAACAGATCAACAACCAAGGGCTAGTAGTGACCTTGAGGGGACAGGACAGGGTTGGTGGTGACCTTGATGACACAACACAAATCAGGTAAATCACAACCTGCCACATTGACAGTAAGATAAGATTGGTCTTAAAATAGAAACCTCCATTTTTTTTCATAACAAGGTGTACAAAAATAGTTTCATTTCATTAACAGGGTAACAACCACAAGTATTCATGATTCAAACAGTTCAAGGAACATGTACATTATACACAAACATTTCATGTAAGTCTATATTCAGTACATTTGATTTAAGCTAGTTGTAAGTAAGGTTGGATTATCATTGAACTTTTTACAAGTTTGTACAAGATAGTAGACACGACACATAAAGTAAACAAACAGCCACGCTGGCAATAAGCTGAAACAAACCTGGCAAACCAAACGCTGACTAAAATTATGCTTTGAAGCTAGCACTGTCCTATACTTGATGGTTCATCTAAAAACAAACTATAACAAAAACAACTAATGTATGTTTTAAAAATGTATAACACTAACACGTACAAACTATGCTACAATGACCTAGCTAAACAAACTATAACAAAAAGTAATGTACGTTTTAAAATTATCACACTAACACGTAAATCTATTCTAGAATGGCCTAGCTAAACTATAACAAAAAAAGTAATGTACGTTTTAAAATGTATCACACTAACACGTACAAACTATTCTACAATGAGCTAGCTAAACCTACAACAACAAAAAAAACTAGGCCCTAATTTAGGCCTATGTTTTTAATAACACTAACACATACAAACAATGAGCTAGCTAAACAGTTTAAGTTGAGAAACACCTAGATAAGCCAGGCAACAGTTGTGATCAGAAGGAATGAAATGCTGCCATATATTATTAAAAATGGTTGTAGTGCTGCATGTCTGGATCCCAATGTACAGAAGGTCAGCTCAGATTATCTCCCATCACACCATTGTTAGTTGAAAGAACCATGTTTGGGTCCTAATGTACAGAAGGTCAGATCACATTATCTCCCCTGGCATCATTGTAAGTTGAAAGAAGCATGAATTAGTAATGTATGCAGCTCAAGTGAGCTGCATCACTAACATGCAACCAACCTTTAGGACCATTCTCTTGTGACCCAATGTTGGGAGAGGTGGGGAAAGATTAGCTTTGTGGATTGCCACAAATTACAAATGTGCATCAGCATCCCACTCCCCTTATGTCTTTATATTAAACAGTGCAACACTGAGCAATGTTGATATAATTATTTGAATGCGCCCCACCCCCCTCCATGCACCCACACAGCATCAGCACTTTTCATTAATGAATGATCCCTTATTTAACACAAATGATTTAAATGAATGATCCCTTTTTAACACATAATTTAAATGAATGATCCCTATATTAAACACAAATAATTTAAATGAATAATCCCTTATTTAACACAAATTATTTAAATGAATGATCCCTTTTTAACACAAATAATTTAAATGAATGATCCCTTATTTAACACAAATGATTTAAATGAATGATCCCTTTTTAACACAATTTAAATGAATGATCCCTATATTTAACACAAATAATTTAAATGAATGATTGCTAAAAACATAGTCTTTTTGAGGCACATTGAAAATATATTCACTAGACCACTGAATATGAAACAGTTATACAAAGAGCTGAGAAAAACAGTACAGCTAACATAAGGCATTGTCTACTAGGGCACACAGTAGTGCAGACAAACATGAAACAAACTTATGCTGAGGTATGTTGTGATGCCAGTACATGAGGCTCAGCATACCAGACATACACACATACATACATCAAGTTAATATGAGGTAAATGCTTTAAACTGACAGTTGTACCTGGATAGAGCTTGGAATATGCTTGTTATGGTCTCAAATAAAATTTATGTTACATGAGATGGCAATGAACAGTTAGACAATGCTAAAGCACACAGATCTGGGCAAGGTTGGATGTGATCTTGGCTTCACATGAAAAGTTGGAGGTGATGTCGAATTCACAAGAAATGTTGGATGTTGTGTTAGATCTATGAGAAATATTGTATGTGAAGTCTTTATCTTGTTAAATATGTACACATAATAAAAAACAACTTTGGTAATGCTACAGTCACTATATAAACAGATCTTCTCATTTCCAACTGTCTGTACTAATGTCAGATAATCTCAGGGTAGGCTTGCTAGGGTAGACAGAGGTATCTAGTTGACATCTACATGTTGACATTTACAAGTTGACATTTAACATTTCTGTTGACATCTACTGTTTGGGTTGTCTTACATCCAATCCAAGTCAAATTATCCGTAGCGTCAATCCGCCTGCTCCCCACTAGTGGATTTGTGGGTGATCTTACGATGTATCCGTAGCAGTTCCGGAGCCTGTGCCTCTTCCTCTATGACTTTCATTTTCTTCTCTTCCTCCTGTAATACAGTGGACGTATGGCCATTATAAACTATTATAAGAGTAAGTAAACACGACCAAGGTATTGGCCTGTAAGTAAGTAAGTTTCCCTTTCAAACCTGACGGTCCATGGGGCAAGTGAAGTAGAGTTCACTTGTTTCTATGACCTCGGCATATGAAGAGATAGTATGGTCAGCACTATGCCCAGCCGCCTTTACTTTCCCCAACGTGAGATAGGTACCCATCAGAGTTGGGTGGACTCAGTGACGGTCTATTGACTAGAACCCGGATTCGAACTCGAGACTTACAGGATAGCAGTCCAGCTCTCTACCGCTAGACCACTCCGTTACTAGTGGTATAAAATTGAGCTTATAATTGAGCTTATAATTGAACTTAACGAGACATGAAAGCCCTTACCTCCTTCATCCTGTTAGCCCTCTCCTCCAGCTTGATCTCCAGACTTGTCCTCCCCTTAGAGGACTTGTGTTCCTCCCATTCTTTCTTGCGCTGGATCTCTCGCCGGTCACGAAAAGCTTTGTCTAGCTCTGGTTTTTTCAAGACATTTTTACCTCTAGAAAAAACAAAGCAGCTTTTAACACTACACTTTTTTTAACAAGTTCAATAAATAATCTATTGTCGGTTTTTTGCAAATTCTTTTTTTTAAAAATCCTAGAAAATAACAGAAAGACAAAAAATGTCAATTATTATTTTATCTATAATACCTAGATCTATAAATAAATAAAAGTTCTAGAGAATTTTTAACAACTATCATCATCTTTTCCTGCGTGTGCCCAAGACACATGGTGCCAATGAAGTGGAGTTCATGTTTCAGAGACCTCAGTATATGAAGTGATAGTGTAGTCAGCACTATGCCTGGCCACTTTTACTTTCAGAGCTGGGTGGGAGTTCGACTGACTTGAACACAGATTCAAACTTTCTGGTTAAAAGTCTAGCTCTCTACCACTAGGCCACGCCATCCCATTTTGACAACTATAATCACATTTATAATTTAAAAAATCTTTGACTTGATGACATTATACATTTCATAAAGAAATCTCCAGTGGTTTACTTACATCTTATAGTTCATTAGCAGCTCCCTGTGGAGCGCCTGGCGTTCTTTAGACTCTACACACGGGTTGTGGAGGGGTTTGGGTTTGACCAGCGGGGGTTGTTTACCTCCAACACCTGCAGGGCCATCTGAGGTGGGAGAGATTCCGTTCTGCAGGTGAGCGTCATAGGCTTCAGCTACTGCTGCTGACAGCTCGTCTGCCGTACAGGGTGGAGGGGGAGGGGGGAACTCAGAGGCTGAGTCAGGCTGGTGGAACACCCGCTCCTCGTCTTCATCAACAAGATAGTCAGGGTCAGGCTCAGGGAAACATGTGTAGAGCTCTTCTGTGGAAGGGGGAAACATAAAATAGTTAAAGCAACTTGGGTATCAAACTCAAATGTAATCATTAATTAAAGACAATTAATAACTAGTAACTCAATCAGTTATCAAACAACTCACATGTAATCATTATTTATAAATACTACAGACAACTATATACTCAATAGTAACAGTTAATAAATAATAGCAGTGCAACATTAACATGATAATTGCTAAGTAGAAAACTTGAGGATTTTACAAATGATTCGTTTTAAACTGTTCAAATTATATTTACTATCGATTACTTGTAACTAAAGTTCCAATACTTAAAATAAAAAACTGAAAATAAAATGTAAGCAATTTTTAAAACAAAATGTGCCAAGTTCTATCTCTAGTGTCAAGTTGACCTGTCTAGCTACACTACACTAATTTATTTCAGTGCTGTATGGCTTTCTAGTCAGATGTCATATTTGAGCCATACCTTTATAAAATAAAACTAAAAACCTAAGTCAAACTACAGATTGTAACAAAATGTTTTAGTTCTAGTAAGAAGTTGACCTGTCTAGCTACACTAGACTAATTTATTTCTAGTGGCTAGCTGACCACAATGGCTACACTGGACTAAACACATTTATTTCAGTGCTGAGTAGCTGAAGTTCTAACACAATTTTTTTAGTCAGATCCAATATTTGAGTCAAACCTTTACAAAATAAAACAAAAACAAAGATTGAATGTTTAGTTAGCTAAAAGCTAGCAGTGCACAGCACACCTGGTCAGTTGGTCAGTGAAGAAAACAGCTGTAAACTTTGTAGACAAATAAATTCTGCACTGCAGATCTAAGCAAAAAGTTTTCAGAAACATTGAATGAAATCTATATATTAAATGGAAAACTTGAGGCAAATGTTAGCAAGAAAGCTGTTAGAAATGTGTAGTTGTTATAGTTAAGTGCTACAAACAGAAATAAAGCAAAAACTGAAGTATTTAGTTGTAAACAAATATGATGTATTACAAAAAAAGACATATCTAAAATTCAATAACATAGGCTTATAAAGAAGAGACTTTAAATTGACTTTACAATAAACTGAAACCAATATGTTTTTCTGGAAGATAACATGACATTACAGTATTACATCTTGACTTGAAACCTTGAAACACTTGGACTAGCAGCCTTGCATCTGACTATCAGTTGAATTTATCTCCACAACAGAGCACTTCAGACTCCCAGTTATCATAGACCCCACTCCAGACCAATCACAAAGTAGCTAAACAATCATTCAATCTAATAACTGATGGGCCCAAGGATAATGGGGACTGATGTTTATTAGACAACAGCCCATTCATATTGTTCCTGGATGCAATGTTTGAAGTGGGCTCTATGTTAAATAGATGTTTGAGCCAGAACTATTTTACAACTTTGTGTAGAGATCAAAATTTTTAGTGTTATTTCAAGTTTTTAAAAATAAACTTATTAATTTAAAAAAAATTGTTTACAATAAGCTAATGAGCATGGGTATCCTAGATTTAAGTTTTTCATATTTTAAACACTAGGGTGGAAAAATTCTTTTCTTATAGGCAGGAACATGATTAGCTAATGATAGGATATGAACATTATAACAAGACCAGAAATTATATGCTGATGGGTGAAATCTGATATTAAACTAACATTTTTAATACATGAAGCAGGTCCCATCTTAGATCAGATTACAACGTGTCAAATAGATAAGAGATTATTGTTCAACCAGTTAATTAGGCTGCTAATGAGCCTACAACTGAGTGAATTGGAGCTAGTGAGCCCTACGACTGAGTGAATTGGAGCTAGTGAGCCCTACGACTGAGTGAATTGGAGCTAATGAGCCCTACGACTGAGTGAATTGGAGCTAGTGAGCCCTACGACTGAGTTATCTATTAAGAATTATCCACAATGATATCAAGCTAATGATATTTAAGCTAAATTGTATCCCCACCCTATGGGTGTGATGTCATGTATGGGCAACCCACTAGATGGATTACATCCTGATGGAAACAAACAATTCATGTTTTCAGTTCTACGTAAGGCAGAGTGCATCAAGCAGTAAAGCGTTAGCTAGATTGTTAGATCACTAAGCCAGTAGCTGGGTGGTACCTATGGTTCGAATGTGGGTTATAACATTTTTAAAATTGTTGACAAATTTCAGAGAGCTTCGTCTGTTGTAGTTGACAGACTCCTCCTCCTCGTAGTCCGGCTGTGGGGTGCTAAAAACTGATTTGTCACGGGCTGGGGCGTCCTCCTTTTTAGGGCGCATGGTAACAGTTTCATCATCTGCATCCTTGGCTGGCATAAGCAACATAGCAAGCTGTTTAGTTTACTCAACATGGGGTAAGCATGGCATTCACAGGACAGAATTGCAAACAGTCATAGAACAACACAACAAGCAGATCATTCACAGAACAATGCATTGAGAATAAAATGCATGAAACTAGCTATATTGCAAGGGTTTAAAACAGCCAAATAGTGTTGGGATAAAAATAATATTAAAAATAAATATTACTAATAAAGCAAAACAGAGAGTTGTCAAGTTGGGGGAGTTAACACGACTGATGGCAATATCACAGAGACATGGCATTTGTCAGTGTTACACGACTGATGGCAATATCACAGAGACATGGCATTTGTCAGTGTTACACGACTGATGGCAATATCACAGAGACATGGCATTTGTCAGTGTTACACGACTGATGGCAATATCACAGAGACATGGCATTTGTCAGTGTTACACGACTGATGGCAATATCACAGAGACATGGCATTTGTCAGTGTTACATGACTGATGGCAATATCACAGAGACATGGCATTTGTCAGTGTTACACGACTGATGGCAATATCACAGAGACATGGCATTTGTCAGTGTTACACGACTGATGGCAATATCACAGAGACATGGCATTTGTCAGTGTTACACGACTGATGGCAATATCACAGAGACATGGCATTTGTCAGTGTTACACGACTGATGGCAATATCACAGAGACATGGCATTTGTCAGTGTTACACGACTGATGGCAATATCACAGAGACATGGCATTTGTCAGTGTTACACGACTGATGGCAATATCACAGAGACATGGCATTTGTCAGTGTTACACGACTGATGGCAATATCACAGAGACATGGCATTTGTCAGTGTTACACGACTGATGGCAATATCACAGAGACATGGCATTTGTCAGTGTTACACGACTGATGGCAATATCACAGAGACATGGCATTTGTCAGTGTTACAACGGCCACATGAACATGACATTTGTTAGGGTGATGACATTATCAGACAGACATGATATTTTCCAACGACAAGAGACAAGAAATATACTTGAAGCTTACTACCTAACCAACAGACAAACAAAAATACATGAAGCTGAGTACCTAACAAACAGACAAACAAAATATACATGAAACTTTCTGACTAGCTAACAAACAGACGAGCTCAAATGAACAACAACATTATTTAACATCCCCCAATAAACACAGGCAGTGATACAATACATAGGGCCTGTATAGATACGCCCACCCACTAAGTCGGCCATGATCCTACTATGCATCTATACACACAAACATAGGTTTTTTGTTTGTTACATAAGATGTTTTTCACCCCGCCTTTCTATATTTATATGCCCCGGGTAGGCCCTCTGCCCGGGTGACACAAACATCTACTCTCCAAGTTGGCCTACAGCTGATTAAAGGAAATAAGATGACGTCAATCCGGGTCCGTGACAAATTATAAATGTGACGTAATACCGGACATGCGCCTGTTAGGAAGCAGACGGCTTGTCTGCGAGTTTTCCAGATTTTCCGACGAGCAGACGACAAACAGAGATTTGCGGAGACACCTCTACAATTCAGATTGTGTCTATTTTTAGGATCTTTATTTTCCCTCCTAACAATATTGAGGGAATTCATGGCATATTCTACAATGCATAAATAATCTGTGTTTTGTCTTTGTAATTGTATACGTCTATATACATATACATAAATACATACATATTTGTATGTATATATTCTAAGGCTATATATATATATATATATATATATATATATATATATATATATATATATATATATATATATATATTCCTACATCTGACAGCAATATTAATTTTCTTTTGTTCCCCATTAGCTAATCAATAATGACAAACAGCCGAGATATCTAATATTTATCGAGGTAGATTAGCGAGCACGAGTTTACAGAAGGACGAGACTGCACGACTCCATAGACATAGATCTACCTAGTGGGTCTACACGTGTAGACACGGCGTGCACCCAGATGGTTCAACACTGTCACACACAGTATCAACATGAGGTGACGTCATGAGATGGTTCAACACTGTCACACTCAGTTGGTGGGCCACGACAGATGACGTCAGCAGTAAGTCTAGTTAAAAAAAAACAGTGCCTGACCGGCAAACAAAAAGATCGATAGTCAAAAAGCTGTTAATTATGCCAGGCATCTATTTCTGGCCACTGACTTCCCTGTACTTTGGTCCAGACGGAAGGTTAAAGATGTCTGGCCTCGATACATGCGGCCCAATACTGAATGGATGGGAAAACAGGAGGGGAGTTTGGCTACAAACTGACGCGTGCCAGTCAGTTAAAGACAAACAATAGTAAGGGCTGGATGCCAGATAAAAAAAAAAAACTCTGTTAATAGTCGGCACGAGGTTGTCCAAGATTGAAGTTTATTAAACGAAAACACCCCCACACCTGCACTACCCCCCCCCCCCCCACACACACACATACTAAAAACACAGACGTTCAAATTTTCTTACAGATATCTTTCAGTGGGTGGGGGGGGGGGGTGTACACACAGATGAAAGAAATAGTTTTCTGGTAAAACCTGCGTGTCCTATACATTCATTTCACTGGCATCATGCGATGGTAATACGCTGGTGATACGTGTGTTGGTACTACAGTGGTGATACCTGTGTTGGTTATAGAATGGTGATACCTGTGTTGGTACTACGCTGGGAAACCTGTGTTGATACTACAGTGGTGATACCTGTGCTGATACTACAGTGGTGAAACCTGTGTTGATACTACAGTGGTGAAACCTGTGTTGATACTAGACTGGTAAAACGGGCACGAAAGTACAAACACCACTCTCAATAATTGTTTGCCGTCATTGGGAGAGGAAGAAAATATTTGTGAAAACATAGCAAGCATGACTGGAATAGCCTGGGTCTGCCTCTAGTGGCGACACACGGAGGAGGGGGGGGCGACACAAGGGGGAGGGGGGTGGCGAAACAAGGGGGGTGACACAAGGGAGAAGGGGGTGACAAGAGGGGGAGGGGGTGTAGCGACCCGGGGGTGTTGACCGAAGTAACAAAAATAGCGGACATTCTTCGTGGCAAAATGAAAACACAAGCATACAGGTACTCGTGTTGTTTGCTGGTTCAACAATCAATGCCCGCGGTGCGCAACTAACAGATCAAATATCGCACGGCGGTCAAACTCAGCAGGACAACGGCGGTCAAACTCAGCAGGACAACAGTGGTCAAACTCAGCAGGACAACAGTGGTCAAACTCATAACAACAGTGGTCAAACTCAGCAGGACAACCGTGGTCAAACTCAGCAGGACATCAGTGGTCAAACTCAGCAGGACAACAGTGGTCAAACTCAGCAGGACATCAGTGGTCAAACTCAGCAGGACATCAGTGGTCAAACTCAGGACAACAGTGGTCAAACTCAGGACAACAGTGGTCAAACTCAGCAGGACAACAGTGGTCAAACTCAGGACAATAGTGGTCAAACTCAGCAGAACAACAGTGGTCAAACTCAGCAGGACAACAGTGGTCAAACTCAGGACATCAATGGTCAAACTCAGCAGGACATCAGTGGTCAAACTCAGCAGGACAACAGTGGTCAAACTCAGGACAACGGTGGTCAAACTCAGCAGAAACTCAGCAGGACATCAGTGGTCAAAATCAGCAGGACAACAGTGGTCAAACTCAGGTCAACGGTGGTCAAACTCAGCAGGACAACAGTAGTCAAACTCAGCAGGACATCAGTGGTCAAACTCATAACAACAGTGGTCAAACTCAGCAGGACAACCGTGGTCAAACTCAGCAGGACATCAGTGGTCAAACTCAGCAGGACAACAGTGGTCAAACTCAGCAGGACATCAGTGGTCAAACTCAGCAGGACATCAGTGGTCAAACTCAGGACAACAGTGGTCAAACTCAGGACAACAGTGGTCAAACTCAGCAGGACAATAGTGGTCAAACTCAGCAGGACAACAGTGGTCAAACTCAGCAGGACAACAGTGGTCAAACTCAGGACATCAATGGTCAAACTCAGCAGGACATCAGTGGTCAAACTCAGCAGGACAACAGTGGTCAAACACAGGACAACAGTGGTCAAACTCAGCAGGACATCAATGGTCAAACTCAGCAGGACAACAGTGGTCAAACTCAGCAGGACAACAGTGGTCAAACTCAGCAGGACAACAGTGGTCAAACTCAGCAGGACAACATTGGTCAAACTCAGCAGGACAACAGTGGTCAAACTCAGCAGGACAACAGTGGTCAAACTCAGCAGGACAACAGTAGTCAAACTCAGCAGGACAACAGTAGTCAAACTCAGCAGGACAACAGTGGTCAAACTCAGGACAACGGTGAACATAGCACACAGAAAATAAAGCAGAGCACATTAAAAATTGCACAACGAAAAAAAAAACGCTAATTCAAAATGGCGCATAAAGAAAATATAAAGACCATACTGAAACCATGCACAAACAACAGATCGGCACAAAAGAGATTGAATTTCATTTTTTTTTTCTCGGAAATAATAAACCACACAAAGAAAAAACAACCTCTGGCAGTAATAGACAACAAATCGTGAATAGCAACACACCAACATTAAAAACAACACACCAAATTATACTAAAACCAACACACAACCAAACAATAAAACTGACACACCACCATACAATAAAACTGACACACCACCAAACACTTAAACCAACACACTACCAAACCTATGGCGATCCCCCTTAAAAACCACCAACCATAAAATGTAAGGAAATCCCCTTTAGAGGCAAGACAATACCAAACATACAAAGCAAATATAAAGCATGGGCCTCTGTGATTTAAAGATTGCGGTCTAATTCAATCTGTTGGCAAACAGAGGTAATGGTGGCCCCTGTTAAAACAAGGAAGAGATTTAAATCTAATCACAATGTATGCCTGTCTACTCCAGCTCATTGGAATGTCGTTTAACGCACTACGTGTAGCCACTAGATATCTGGGGGTCAGACACGACTAGCCACTTGATATCTGGGGGTCAGACACGACTAGCCACTAGATATCTGGGGTTCAGACACGATTAAAGTAGCCACTAGATATCTGGGGGTCAGACACGACTTGCCACTAGATATCTGGGGGTCAGACACGACTTGCCACTAGATATCTGGGGTCAGACACGATTAAAGTAGCCACTAGATATCTGGGGTCAGACACGACTAGCCACTAGATATCTGGGGTCAGACACGATTAAAGTAGCCACTAGATATCTGGGGTCAGACACGACTTGCCACTAGATATCTGGGGTCAGACACGATTAAAGTAGCCACTAGATATCTGGGGTCAGACACGATAAAAGTAGCCACTAGATATCTGGGGTCAGACACGATTAAAGTAGCCACTAGATATCTGGGGTCAGACACGACTAGCCACTAGATATCTGGGGTCAGACACGATTAAAGTAGCCACTAGATATCTGGGGTCAGACACGACTAGCCACTAGATATCTGGGGGTCAGACACGATTAAAGTAGCCACTAGATATCTGGGGATACAAACAGTAGCACCATATGTTGGGAGGGGGGGGGGGGGAAGGGAGTATCCCTGAAATATGACAACCGTGTCAAAATGCACCATCTGTAGCTGCTGTGTGATTTGTGTGACTCCGGGCTACAAAATTATCATATTCAAGTCGTAGCCCAGAGATTATCATCAGTCAAGGATGTGTAAGCTACAGTCTCGACTTTTTTGTTCATACTGATGCGATACATAGGCTACATGGGAAGCCAAGTCAATTCTTTAAGTAGAAGCTATCATGCAACAGCCTCTATGGTATTACTATTTGAGGTTAACGAAAGGAACATTAGGCATGCATAACACAAGAAATTTTAAAAAAATGTTTATATGGTGGGCCAAGTAAAGAAGGCAAAAACAAGACAAATGTTTGCAGGGAGGGGAGGTGGCGGGATACTTAGCACAATCAACTAAATAACAAGAGGAACTAAAGGAGGCACAACATCAATGTACAAAAACCAGGTACAACATCAATGTACAAATGTGTAACTTTTCTTACCTTGAGACTTTATACCTTGAATTACTGTCCCACGTTGCATGGTTACTACTGTTCGGATAATCCCGTTTCTATTTCTGGCGTACACCCACAAGGGCCCCCTACATGATGGTCTGGACTAGCTTGTACCAGGTCCGACACTGGAGGTCTGTAGAGTAAACAAGTTGGTGGTTAGCACCGTAGGAGACTGGTAGACGGTAAACAAATTGGTGGTTAGCACCGTAGGAGACTGGTAAACAAGTTGGTGGTAAGCACCGTAGGAGACTGGTAAACAAGTTGGTGGTTAGCACCGTAGAAGACCGGTAGACGATTGGTAGCACAGCAATCCATGAGCACCGCTACGTCAGGTCCTGGTGCACCGAGTTACCGGGGAATTAAAGATCCGGATTCTACTCGTACTGTGAGGGGGGGGGGGGGGGGTGATGTAGTTCCATGTCTATATATGTTCACGTGAGTGAAGTGCTTCTATATTCGGACCAACTCTATGAGCGACAGCTGATGTGTGTGATAACAAGGGAAACACGCGACACACGCACATTCAGTGGATATGTATATGTATATGAATTTATATGTACGTGTGTATGTATGTGTACGTACGTGTGTAAGTGTATATGTATGTGTATATGTCCATGTGTATGAATGTATGTGTTGAAATCAGGTGATGTTACAACGTGACAATCTAAAGCCACGTGAAAATATGGATGTATGTGTTGACATAACGTGTTGACATATTTATGGAAGCATTAATTTTTAACTAATTTTGTGCTAACATCTGACCAAAACAAAGTGAGCTTCAATGCGTTAAATAAATCGTGATGATTATACTTAAAATAGCATATATACATCACGTTTTAATAGATTAGTTTCAAAATTAAATAAGGTTAAAAATTAAATTAGAAACTATTTTTAGCGGAAATTTTGCTTAGAAATCTATAAAGCGAAATAGTATACAAAATCAATAGGTATTAGCCTAATGATTTAATCTGTAGACACAATGGGGCTTACTGTGTCGGTGAAGTGTGGGGGGCTTTAGTGCAAGCTGCGCGGGATTTAGGGATTACGATAGTGTTCGCACCAGCAGTTTTACTGTACTGGGGTGCGTAGTTCGTGCTAGGTTTTGTACAGAGGTGCGTAGTTCGTGCTAGGTTTTGTACAGAGGTGCGTAGTTCGTGCTAGGTTTTGTACAGAGGTGCGTAGATTGTACTAGGTTTTGTACAGAGGTGCGTAGATTGTACTAGGTTTTGTACAGAGGTGCGTAGGTTGTACTCGATTTTGTACAGAGGTGCGTAGATTGTACTAGGTTTTGTACAGAGGTGCGTAGATTGTACTAGGATTTGTACAGAGGTGCGTAGTTCGTGCTAGGTTTTGTACAGAGGTGCGTAATTCGTGCTAGGTTTTGTACCGTTCTAATGAATTCGTAGCATTTGAGCACCAAAAAAATATGTCGGGAGAACATGCAGAGAAAAGCAGTGACGCGCAAAATCCGACCCACACAAAATCCGACCCACACAAAATCCGACCCTCACAAAATTGACGCACACAAAAGTTACGAACACAAAACTGACGCTCACAAAACACTCATGTGTTCCGAGTGCGCAAAGGGTGAGTGTCCAGCTGATACATCGGTACAACAAACATGGAACAGTTAGCAAACATGGGGGCATGTAACAGGCAGTTAGGGAATAAACAGGGATCTATATCACAAAGGACAGAAAACATTGTGGCATGTAACAGGCAGTTAGGGAATAAACAGGGATCTACATCACAAAGGACAGAATACAAGGTTAAAACTCTAACATGGAACCAGGTAATTAGTATTAAAGATATGCATCACAAAGAGCAATAAAACAGGAGTGAACTCCCCTAAACTTTCTCGATTATTCTTAGATCACTAATCGGGACATGAAATTATTAAAAATTTCTACATATTTGCGAAATTTTGTCTATATAACTGTAACAGTGTAAATTATAGGCTTTTGAAAAACCGCAGATATAATTAGTTCCACTTCCGGTAACCGGAAATCGCTGAAAAGTTGATACAGAACTACAAATTTGATAGAATACATATATGGAATTTCGTCAACCTAGCTGTAAGGGTACTCAAGTTATCGTGTTCACAGATAAGACACACAGACAAACACACTGACACACAGACAAAATTGCAAATTTCCGACTCAAGGAGGTGTAAAACGTCAAGATTTATGAAAATCTCGATTTCGATTTTTTTTTTTTTGCACGATTACAATACTTCCTCTAAACTTTGTATACGAGAAAAATGAGAAAGACAAAAAAAGTAGTATAAAACATCATAAAGAGTAAAAACCAAGTACAAAAACAGCCATCAGAAAGAACCGAAATAGAGCTTGTTCAAAACAAACACGTGAGCTCTACTTTGTTTAGCTGATGTGCTCGAGTGGTCTAGATAACACAGGAAAGGGAGGGCAGACAAAGGAAACAAACCCAAGTTAGTTACGTGAGTAGAGGCGTGCGCTTGGGGCGACATTCTCTGATCTGTAGATTACACACGTTCTTACACCATAGTGACACGTTTTAGGGTACTAATTAAAACGTCGGCAGGTCGTATTCGAGGCTATTTTTAGCTTGTATCGGCACCATACCTCCAATACAAACTTTAACATTGACTAACGGAGACACGATAAAGCTTCTATGTGATTACTGCATTGTCGTGTCGGCGTTCTGTAAGATCCCTTTAATCTTGACCCTAATCTTCTGTTCCTTACATAGCCCAGGAGCAAGTAAATGTGGCCCGCCCCGACGAGAGAAAGGCCGGTATGTTCTTTGTTGCATTCTCGTATTGCTGGGGTGTTGAGTGACGTGACCCTGGATCACGGCAGATCTTCACGATCTCAAGTCAAGTCACGTTTCAGACGTGAATGGGAGTGGGTCTACACAATGTAACGTGACGTCACATATCCGACATGAATCAGGGTAGACACATAGATCGGGTTATTCGTGACGACGGAGAAGTTGCCCATTGATATCAAAACTTTTTGACATCCACTATATTTAGATGGCAAACATTCCAAAGTTGTGTGCCTGTAAAGCCCCGTGTGGACAAGATTTAGTTCACTTATTGATGAACACAGGTCTGAATGTCGGGGCCAGCCGGGCCTCAGCCTAGATTGGTGGGACTTTAGCTAGTGAATATTTCATGTGTAGTCTAGTGTTGATACACTCAAGGTATTGAAACTTGTATTTGTCATCAACGTATCGATATTTTGTAACTGTATTTTAGGCACTGAAGTTTTTTTATATGTTGTCACGGAATCGATACTCAAAGTATTGAACATTTGTCGTGACGAATTAGATGATTATTGTGATTGGTGGCGATGTTTACATGGCTGAGTACTGTGGTTGTGTGTAGGTACAAACACTAGGTGTAAACAGCTGCTTCATATTGACGCTCGTGCTTGAAGGTTTTTGTTTCACCATCGATTCGCTTTCAGTTTGTACACGAAGTTCCAGGAAATCACGAACAGAAAAAAAAAAATGTTTGTGGCCATTACACAGATCGAACAGAACGGTAGACAAAAACAATTAGAGGAAGCGGCGGCGTCACGATTTCTCTATCTGTTCCAGTATGATATGCATCGGATCTACAATTGACATTGTCGGGCTATGTGTGTGTCGGTAACATTACAGCTACAGCCGTGTCTGGCTACAGCCGTGTCTGTCACATCACAGCTACAGCCGTGCCTGTCACATCACAGCTACAGCCGTGCCTGTCACATTACAGCTACAGCCGTGTCTGTCACATCACAGCTACAGCCGTGCCTGTCACATTACAGCTACAGCCGTGCCTGTCACATCACAGCTACAGCCGTGCCTGTCACATTACAGCTACAGCCGTGTCTGTAACATCACAGCTACAGCCGTGTCTGTCACATTACAGCTACAGTCGTGTCTGTAACATTACAGCTACAGCCGTGTCTGTCACATTACAGCTACAGCCGTGTCTGTCACATCACAGCTACAGCCGTGTCTGTCATATTACAGCTACAGCCGTGTCAGTAACATCACAGCTACAGCCGTGTCTGAAACATTACAGCCTAAGCTATATTTGCGGCTACAGTCAAATCTAATCGCCTTGAAAATGAGCGAACGTGTACTGTAATTTACTATCAAAAGGCGTTCATCGATCATCAAAGAACAAAGTTTTATTTAAATATTTAGAGAGAGAGGGTGAGGGAGGGAGAACCTTGGTCTCTGTTGTTTAAAACATAAATTAATTGGATCTTTTAATAGCCTGGGAGAGTTTGTTCCCTGTAATGTAATTTTAGAGCAGTGGTTGAAAAAAATAAAACTCGGCGCGTTATTTTCTGTAAATCATAACTGAACTAATGAATTCTGTCAAACTAAACGCTGATGGAGGCTGTAATGCTTTAAATAGTTTGAGGACTTGTTTTTAGATACACACAAAAAGATTAGTAAGTCTACGTCTTCAATGAGAATAGAAGAATATCTCAATGTTTTTTCTAATTAGATACTAAATTAGTCATTACACATATTAATTCAGTGGAATAATAGAATAACTTACTTTTTATTATAAATAGATATTGAATTATTTATTTCACATATTAATATATGGGATAATAGAATCTTTTTTTTTTATTTTAAATAGGTATTTAATCAGCTATACACATGTGAATACAGGGAATATTGGCGACACCATACATAGCAAACAAGGATACCCAACGGGTTCAATACAAATTGGTTTAGTCATGTACGTTACACGGTTGACTTACACAGCTCTAGTTTAGTACCAATTATCTAGTTCTTTTGGCTTAAATATCGATTTACTATTTTACTTATATTTAATTTTTACTAATAGAAAAAACAAACAAATAAAAACTAAACAAATAAGAACCATTTTCCCTAGCCATAACATAAAAGCGTTGTCGCTCTAAAATTCGTCTCAATATAGGCCTACTTGTGAGTGTAACAGTAAAAATCATAAATGTCGTTATTTCTGTTATGTTGCATTTGGAAGCATTTTTATGCTTGTTTTTATTATTGAATCAATGTCGTTACTGTCAAGCATGCTGTGGAAAAACAAACTGAACATACAACAATCAAACATGATTGTTAGCATAAAAACAGCCATAGTTTCACAAACAATCTCTTCACACTTTACATTGATTCTACAGACTCTACAACAAGGCAGCTCGTCTGGCTATGGGGTCAATGTTCTGAGTGTTATGTTCTAGAACGCATAAGGAAGTGTTCTAATCTATAAGCTGATCCACGCGTGCACGGTCTCGGCAAGTTGGTGGCACCTGACTTACGTAGTGTTTCTTATCTTTAAACAGAGGCAGGACACAATGTATCATATTCCCACCAGGACATGTATCATATTCCCACCAGGACATTATGTATCATATTCCCACCAGGACATTATGTATCATATTCAACCAGGACATTATGTATCATATTCAACCAGGACATTATGTATCATATTCCCACCAGCAGACAATGTATCATATTCAACCAGGACATTATGTATCATATTCCGATCAGAAGCCCATGTATCATATTCCCACCAGCAGACAATGTATGATATTCAACCAGGACATTATGTATCATATTCCGATCAGAAGCCCATGTATCATATTCCCACCAGCAGACAATGTATGATATTCAACCAGGACATTATGTATCATATTCCGATCAGAAGCCCATGTATCATATTCCCACCAGCAGACAATGTATGATATTCAACCAGGACATTATGTATCATATTGCGATCAGAAGCCCATGTATCATATTCCCACCAGCAGACAATGTATGATATTCAACCAGGACATTATGTATCATATTGCCATCCGTCCCGTCTAGGTCGGCCACAGTCACATGACTGTCTGGGGTACACCTGTGATTCACAGTTAAATAAATAATTGGACTGTGACTAGCCTGCAGAGAGTACGCTCCATTATCAACTTCACAACCTCCACATCAACAGGAGAAGTCAGTGAGGTCATTCAAACCTGGACTGCTAAACTGTCTAGACTTTGTAGTTGTACCCCCTCCCTCAGCACCACCCCTCAACTAAAAAGCTACCATCCACCAGCACCACCACTGACGACGACAGCACCAGCCACATTATGTTCTCCACCCCCCTTTATCTCGTGACTTCCAGTTCTACACCTAATTAAAACTATGTTGACGGTGAGCAAACGAGTACGGAGTTAGATCGTTAAACAAATGTATGCTAGGCCAACCTGACCTGGCCAAGGTGATGCAGCTCTGTTTACAGGGCCACGGCCGATACTTTGTCATACAAAACATGCGCAAACGTAACCTCTTCTGTCACGATGTACTAGACAACTGGCATAACTCTATGTTGTCAGAATTTGCCAGATATCTGACATAACTGTATGTCTATCAAGCTATATGCAAGCATGGAAACAGGAAAGTATCCAAGGTGAGATCATTGAGATCTACACCAAGGTACATGATTACATAGCCTCAACAGTTGATAAACTGGCTAAACCTCCACTGGCTAAACCCTTTATGGTTAAACCTTCACTGGCTAAACCCCTTCTGGTTAAACCTCCACTGGCTAAACCCCTTCTGGTTAAACCTTCACTGGCTAAACCCCAGCTCTAAGATCTATAAATCTCACCTCGACAATCAGAGGTTAAAAAATCTATAGCACCAATTATCGAACAATGTTATCGGTAATCAATGGTGCACGGTTGAGTGCCCATGAGATTGGCCACTCCCTGCACCCAACTAGGTGAGCAAGCTCAGCTCAAGCCGGCACTGACGACTCACTGTATCTAGGTTAGCATGTCAGGGTACATTCATTATTCAAGAAAACAGAAACCAGACAATGATCACATTTAATGGCTGTCTAACCAAGTACACCGGTCACGTCCCTTGAATACTTGGCAGAAAATAGTTTCTCTGTGGAGGTTTGGGTGAGATACCATGTGATACACCAGCTGATATGGTCACGTGTCCAGCTAGAGGGCGCCACGGCTGTTATATCCCGTCAAGTGGTCAAATGCTCTCAGCGACAACTCAAAGCACCACTTCAGTGAGGGACAAGGGTCAACACGGGCAAACAACACACCCCATGTGCTACAGTCTACACACCCCACACGTTACACAGAAACAACACACCCCACACGTTACACGCAAACAACACACCCCATGTGCTACAGTCTACACACCCCATACGTTACACAGAAACAACACACCCCACACGTTACACACAACACAACCCACACAATACACGCAAACAACACACCCCACGTGCTACAGTCTACACACCCCACACGTTACACGCCCTATTCTACCAATCATATTAATGTTAGACACTGCTCCACTTAGAGTAGATAAGATGTTTTAAGTCTTTAGAACCAGTTAATTGCTAATGACAACGACAACAGATAAGCTAATTAAGCAGCTGTAAGATGACTTAAAATAAATTTTGCTATTTATGTAGCACTACATTTGGGCGAAATGTGCTAGTAAATTGTTGGGTTGTTTCAGTAAATTGTTGGGTTGTGTCAGTAAATTGTTGGGTTGTGTCAGTAAATAGTTGGGTTGTGTCAGTAAATAGTTGGGTTGTGTCAGTAAAGTGTTGGGTTGTGTCAGTAAATTCATTTGTGTCAATAAATAGTTGAGCTGTATCAGCAAATTCAGTAGTGTTAGTAAATTGTTGGGTTGTGTCAGTAAATTGTTGGGTTGTGTCAGTAAATAGTTGGGTTGAGTCAGTAAATAGTTGGGTTGTGTCAGTGTCAGTAAATTGTTGGTTTGTGTCAGTGTCAGTAAATTGTTGGGCTGTGTCAGCAAATTCAGTTGTGTCAGTAAAGTCTTGGGTTAGCGATGAGTTAACCCGCAGCACTAAAGTTGGGTTAACACAGGTTAGACAACGGATGTAACGACAAAACACGGCCAGGAGGTCAAGTGTGAGCTTAACAACTCTGGCTTTACTGGAGTTAACGATGATAAAGGTAATAGGACACCTTGCAGACACATTTGAAAGCACCAAGTGTGTTCTGTAATCGTGAGGCATCAAACTGTAGACCAGTGTCATAGGCTATAATAGACCTCAGCAGGTAAAACGGGACTAGTAGCCAGTGATGGATGTCTTTATAATGGATAAATGGGAGTTGTCAGGGACATGAACTAGAGCTACTAGGGGCGGGTTAACTTGTATTAGGCTCCTGGTTGGGTTTTTATCCGTAGTTCTCACTGGTGTCACAGGGATAAGTCTTGTTTTAGCTATAAGGCAGTCTTGGGGAAGGGGGGGGCTGCTTCTGACGGTGTCTCCCTCTTTAATCCGCCACTGGTAACTACCACGGATCAGCCCCATTAGTGGAGTACATATTCTAGTTAATGAGGGCATTCAGCCTGTCCTAGGTACTACATTTTACTTTAATAATGATCCCCGAAGTTTTCTGTGAGTGATGATCACATGCCAACAGCATAGACCATAGGCCTAGATGAATGTTGGTTGAGACGGTGCTATTATTGCAACACTAACAACAATGTGACTAGTTGATGTGGAGACACGTGACTATATGTAGGCCTAGTATATTGTCTATACTAGCAACACAGGACAAGGGTGGGATATAATGTGAAGAATGATGTAACACTTGCAGGACTAAAGATTTGTGTAACGATGAGTTACGTAAGGGGGAAGAAACTGGAACGTTACTCTATTGACATTTTTTTTAAAGTGTTCGCTGAGGTGTCACGTCAAATTAGGGACGGGCTCTGGCTTAATGTGTCGATGTCTGACGGAGAGGAGGGGCAATTTGTCAAAAATCGTCTCGTCTTTTATGGGCATCCTCCTCATTACAAAGATCATCCCAAAGATCATTTACGAACATTCGAACAACGTGTTTATGGTAGGTTTTTATAGCGCTATCTGGGCCATAGGATGGGAGATAATCCACAAACATCAACCAAGACCATAAATAGCGGAAATATTCCCAAGCCACTTGTCAGTTCGTGCTATGTCAGCTCAGTTCCTTGCCTCACACTAGGACAGTAATCCACGACACAAATTGGGTGATGGAAGGTGGACTTACGAGACGTAAGTCATGTGGGTAGACCAGGCTATCGTGGTGGTGGGTTAAGCTAGTAATTAGTTCAGTTTAGCCCCCCCCCCCCCCTCCTCCCCCTTTACAACACCTAGACACAAGAAATAGTAGCATGTGGAGAGATAATCGAATAAATAACCAATCATTCACTTCACTAGATCTACTAGCTAATGCAAAATATGCGATCAGTTTTTTAAGCACACACAGAGTGATTAACGTTAATCTAACTGTGGTAGGTGTACCCCGGTGTTGGTAGTGTACCAACTAGAGCGTAACACTTACTGCTACACACGAACCGTGAACACTATCACATGGTAAACAAAACAAACATTACCTTTAAAAACCACAAGCTGCTCAACTCGACAACACCACAGCTAAATATCCCTTGACAGAAAACAAAATACACTGTAGTAGATCTAGTTTGTGTCCTAAATGGAGCTCCTATAGACAGAGGTACTAGGTGGATGTGAGCGAGTGAATGAGGAATGAAGCTGGGCTGGTTTATACTCTGGCTGGTTGTAAGACAAACCAGGACAACGCCGCCACTTCACCTGTCGTGTGTCGGCAAAGGGGGAGAACTGTCACCCTACAGCGCCGGGAACCCAAGGCGAACAATCGATTCAAATAAACATTTAGATTGCCTGCCCTTGCTCCCAGTGGCTCGGACTTACGACAGTCACTCTATGGAAGACTGAGCATGGAAGACTATTTCTTTTCATTCCTCACACTTTTATAGGGAGTGTGTGTGAGAGAGAGAGAAAGAGATAGGGGTGTTAATTATATTTTATGGCATTAGACATTAAAACTAATAGTATAATTATAATTCATATATAAATTAATCTGGGGGTTATATACCAAAGGTGTTACCTCAGTCAGGGGTTTCTGCCAGACATTTTGCACCGGGGGGGGGGGGGGGGAAGAGGGAGTTGGAGGGGGGGATGAACACTGGTCGAAGTTTATAAAGTCTGTATTTTCTATATAATTATTTTTTTTTTATCTGAGTCCCCAGACAAGACACGCCCCGTCAAAATCTACGCATCCGTCTATACAATAGTACACATGCGTTGAATGAATGAATGCTGGTGTACTGCTGGTGCAGGAATGCACACTGGTAGTGGAGGAATGTACACCAGTAGAGGTATTTTTTATACAACAGATGGGGCTCGGGACATGAATACCTTAGGTGACGTCAGAGGGCTTATCACCACGACTTGAGATTGTAGTAGGAAAGTGGGGAGGGGTGGAGTCAATAGGCGTGTAGGCACGAGGAAAAATGTATCGAGTGACACTAGAACAAAACACACCGGCACATCAACCAGTCAAGGCTGACTAGGGGTTAGATATCTAGTGAGTGACACTAGAACAAAACACACCGGCACATCAACTAGTCAAGGCTGACTAGGGGTTAGATATCTAGTGAGTGACACTAGAACAAAACACACCGGCACATCAACTAGTCAAGGCTGACTAGGGGTTAGATATCTAGTGAGTGACACTAGAACAAAACACACCGGCACATCAACTAGTCAAGGCTGACTAGGGGTTAGATATCTAGTGAGTGACACTAGAACAAAACACACCGGCACATCAACTAGTCAAGGCTGACTAGTGGCTAGATATCTAGTGAGTGACACTAGAACAAAACACACCGGCACATCAACTAGTCAAGGCTGACTAGTGGTTAGATATCTAGTGAGTGACACTAGAACAAAACACACCGGCACATCAACCAGTCAAGGCTGACTAGTGGTTAGATATCTAGTGAGTGACACTAGAACAAAACACACCGGCACATCAACTAGTCAAGGCTGACTAGTGGCTAGATATCTAGTGAGTGACACTAGAACAAAACACACCGGCACATCAACCAGTCAAGGCTGACTAGTGGCTAGATATCTAGTGAGTGACACTAGAACAAAACACACCGGCACATCAACCAGTCAAGGCTGACTAGGGGTTAGATATCTAGTGACACACTAATGTGAGACAGTCAAAGATGTGAAGAAAACACATGGGTAGATCAACTAGTACACACATCCACTCCTGTCTAGTGAGACACTGGGCATCATAATGTGAGACAGTCAAAGATGTGAAGAAATCACATTTGTAGATCAACTAGTACACACATCCACTCCTGGTTCTAGTGAGACACTGGGCACCATAATGTGAGACAGTCAAAGATGTGAAGAAAATACATGTGTAGATCAACTAGTTCACACATCAACTCCTGTCTAGTGAGACACTGGACATCATAATTAGAGACAAAGATGTGAAGAAAACACGTTTGTAGATCAACTAGTACACACATCCACTCCTGGTTCTAGTGAGACACTGGGCACCATAATGTGAGACAGTCAAAGATGTGAAGAAAACACATTTGTAGATCAACTAGTTCACACATCCACTCATGGTACTAGTGACACCCTGACCATAGTGCCGAGACATAAAGTCAACATGTCAAGTTCAAACTTCTAAACACTATCATACCCCACCCCAATCCCTTTAAAAATATATACATAAACACAATTCCACAAATTCCAAGTTAAGCGATGGTTTGGGTGACCTACGGCCTAGGCGTGGTCACCGTACACAACCATAACTTACCACTACGGGAGACTCGACATTGGCTAGTAGACCTAGATGTATAAACAGCCGACCAGTTACGACCGATATATGCCGGTAGTGTTTACATAGCCTATACAATCAGGGTTAGCATCTTTAAACAGCCGACCAGTTACGACCTACAATAACCAAACCTGTTTATAGCCAGCTAAACAACTCTCAGATCCCACCAGCTAACTTGTAACCAGGGAGCAGGGGTTGAAGGGGGGGGGGGTGCTGATTTTATAGGCTATACCATCAGGACAAATGCAATGGTATTGTGTTGTTAAAGTGTGTAATCGAAATCAAACCATGACTGACATGGGGGGGGGGGGGGGGAGAAAATAGCGTGGAGGCATGTTGTAAAAATGTAACTACGTGTGACTATTACATAGGGGAGGGAGGGAGGGAGAGAATAGCGTGGAGGTATGTTGTAAAAAATGTAACAACGTGTGACTATGACATAGGGGAGGGAGGGGGAGAGAGAAAATAGCGTGGAGGCATGTTGTAAAAATGTAACTACGTGTGACTATTACATAGGGGAGGGAGGGAGGGAGAGGATAGCGTGGAGGCATGTTGTAAAAAATGTAACAACGTGTGACTATGTACAGAGGCCGACTTACAGGGTTTATAAAGCACGTGCCGCAGGTGACATGTTTCACTACTACTGGATAAGGTCATCGCCACTGTGGTGGTCACGAATAGGGTTTATTACTTCCCTTTGTTTACATTTGATTACGCCGCTTTACTCCATTCACACTTAACTGGTTATAGCTGCTATTTAGACGGCCAGGTATAAGTCATGTATAAATAATCATCTTTAGACCTAGAGATCCATTGTGCAGATGAAGTAGAGTTCATGTTTCAAGTAAAGAATCTTCTTTAGAGTAACTGGTGTATAGTTGGTCTTAAACTACACCTTGTATAAGTGATATATAGATAGTCCCAAACTTGATCTGGTTTAGCTGATGTATAGCTGGCCTCGCATTCAACTTCACCTGGTTTAGCTGATGTAGCTGGTATAACTGATGTATAGATGGCACCAAACTTGATCTGGTTTAGCTGATGTATAGCTGGCCTCGCATTCAACTTCACCTGGTTTAGCTGATGTAGCTGGTATAACTGATGTATAGATGGCACCAAACTTGATCTGGTTTAGCTGATGTATAGCTGGCCTCGCATTCAACTTCACCTGGTTTAGCTGATGTAGCTGGTATAACTGATGTATAGATGGCACCAAACTTGATCTGGTTTAGCTGATGTATAGCTGGCCTCGCATTCAACTTCACCTGGTTTAGCTGATGTAGCTGGTATAACTGATGTATAGATGGCACCAAACTTGATCTGGTTTAGCTGATGTATAGCTGGCCTCGCATTCAACTTCACCTGGTTTAGCTGATGTAGCTGGTATAACTGATGTATAGATGGCACCAAACTTGATCTGGTTTAGCTGATGTATAGCTGGCCTCGCATTCAACTTCACCTGGTTTAGCTGATGTAGCTGGTATAACTGATGTATAGATGGCACCAAACTTGATCTGGTTTAGCTGATGTATAGCTGGCCTCGCATTCAACTTCACCTGGTTTAGCTGATGTAGCTGGTATAACTCATGTATAGATGGCACCAAACTTGATCTGGTTTAGCTGATGTATAGCTGGCCTCGCATTCAACTTCACCTGGTTTAGCTGATGTAGCTGGTATAACTCATGTATAGATGGCACCAAACTTGATCTGGTTTAGCTGATGTATAGCTGGCCTCGCACTCAACTTCACCTGGTTTAGCTGATGTAGCTGGTATAACTCATGTATAGATGGCACCAAACTTGATCTGGTTTAGCTGATGTATAGCTGGCCTCGCATTCAACTTCACCTGGTTTAGCTGATGTAGCTGGTATAACTCATGTATAGATGGGGGTCCAAACTTGATCTGGTTTAGCTGATGTATAGCTGGCCTCGCATTCAACTTCACCTGGTTTAGATGATGTTTAGTTGGCCTTAAATTCCAGCTGGTATAACTGCTGTATAGATGGCCTTGAACAATCGGATTTAGCCTCACATTCAACTTCACCTAATAATGGTTTACCTGACACATAGTCTAGAGACCGCCTCACTTCAAGCGGCATAATAATCTACTCTTTTGTTCTTACAGCCTTGCCAATGAGAAGAGCTTTTATTTATCCCGCGCAGTAATGATGATAAACACTGAATAGAACGGCCATTAGGCTAAGGGGATCCACTTCAAGATAAACAGATTAAAGCCACCTGATTGTTCTATTAAAACAAAAAAGAAAAATAATTTCCTCCCCACCCCCATCCCACCCTTCCTCCCGACACCATATGTAAACAAATTACCCTCGGCCTCCAGCATGAAACAAAAGAACAAAACTTAATTGTGTTATTGTTGGCCTGTGTTGAAAGATGAATGGCGACGATCGCATTAGCTGGCCCTCAAAGCCGACATGGCTTGAACTGTCCAGAGCCTGATCAAATGTTCATAACGCAAACAGTTCCTGATCCAATCAGGCGCTCCATTCTTCTCCTGCCACTGCTCAACAGGTTGTGTTTGTCATGGCCGCTCTAGCACGCGCACCCAAACACAGATGGTCTGTCGGGACACGGGGTCAGTGCACGGCTATCTTCATTAGGGCGCGGTCAGTGGCAACAGATAGAGAAAGTTCATGCAGTCTACGGGCATGTATCAACGGATGGACAGGTTGATATAGTCTACGGGCATGTATCAACAGATGGACAGGTTGATAAGTCTACTGGCATGTATCAACAGATGGACAGGTTGATATAGTCTACTGGCATGTATCAACAGATGGACAGGTTGATAAGTCTACTGGCATGTATCAACAGATGGAGAGGTTGATATAGTCTACAGGCATGTATCAACAGATGGACAGGTTGATAAGTCTACTGGCATGTATCAACAGATGGACAGGTTGATATA